AATCTCAATTGTATTTTTAATTTTAATTTCATTACCTATCCATATGCTACTTCACGTTTAATTACTACAATATTTTGTACACTGTTATTGATAATGACGGGAACCCTTTAACACCAATTAGCATTAAAAAGAAAGCAGGAAAACACATAGTCCTACAGTAATTATTTAAAAGTCATGAGAGTCATAAGGAAGACCTTAACCTTCAAGAAATTATTATCTACTCGCTAAAGTTCAGCATTTAATTGCACTTCTTCATTAATTATTTTTCTTTTCCGTGCTTATTTGTTTTTAAGAAGCAGACCAAAAGTTTTATTACAATTAAGTATGATGAATATTACTAGTTAACACTAATAAAATATTACAAATAAATCTGTGATCTTTGTAATTAATAATTAGCAATCTTATACAAATAACTTACGGCTGTGAAGTGGCAAAGTGTGGTAGGTGAATTAAAAACAAACTAACTGTTGTCTAATGTTAAAATCGCATGATCGCAACTGATTAGTCGAAGCTTATATAGAAATCACAAACACACATTCTTTCTTTGAGCTGACTTCTTTTATTCCATTAGGTCGAAATGAACTCTATAAAATTAAATTACGAGTAGGTACCTAAATTGTATTGAATTGATAACTATAAAAAGTTAACGGCATAAAATTCTCTAATTATTAACCGTTACTTTTGAGGACATGGGCTTACGGTAGTTTATAAGAACAGCTGCTTCAGTGATGCAATTGGATTTATAAATAACTAGCTGACCCGGCAGACTTCGTAGTGCCTCAATCGATATATAAAAGACCTAGTTTTGTATAAAATAAACTTAAAACAAACAAAAGGAATTCGTCCGACGGGGACACATCAAAGGAAAAACAAAATTGTTATTTTCATTTAATTATGAGCATTTTCATATTTATCTACCTTTTAAACCTTCTCTGGACTTCCACAAATAATTTAAGACCAAAATTAGTCAAATCGGTTCAGCGGTTCTCGAGTTTTAGCGAGACTAACGAACAGCAATTCATTTTTTTATATATAAATTAGATTCGCCGTGTACTTGCGCTGCTTTGATAAATTCATAGACATATTCACAAAGGAAGAAAACTGCTCGAGTCGCGATCTTAAAACTTTTAAGTTCAAATTTAAAACGATGTCGATTACTCTTAAAATCGAATGAACTAAGCATTCCTTATGTACCTTTAATTTTATTAAATATTTTCAATATATTCTACATGTGTTACTTCTTTTTTATGTTCTAGACACTTAAGTATGTTTTGGTTAATTGAATACTAGTTTTAAATTTCCATTTTAAATTAGAAACAATAATTGAAATTGTGAGAAACAACCACATCCTTTACCTTGAATTGCGGTAAGCCAACAAGATATTATGAAATATGTTTTTTCTCATTCTAAAAGTAAACGACGAATTAATTAGCAATCAATGTTAAAGCTTTCTTTTTTTTATTTCACTAGCATCAATGAAACGAAAATAGTGATATCGTAAATTCAGAAACGATACGTGAATAATGTATGTAATTGTAAATGTTAGCAATTTACCTCTTTCCTTTAAGGAGCCTTGTTCTCTTGAGAGGTGATTGGTAATCTGAGCATGGTTTGTCATTTGATAAGGTTACATACGTCCTACGCCTGACCGTGATACGGCTTGACCTTACCCTGATACTGTGACATCTAAATGCAATTGTTTACCTACACCTAATAACGTTAAAAATGCGTACGTGAATCCGAACCGTACCTACCTATTATAGTTGGATGTTTTGTGTGGACACTAAAAGCTCAAACAACAACTAACTACGGAACTTTGTAATGATGTTTTATGTTCTTTCTAGAATACGTATATATCAGAGCTGTGGTTAAGCATTTCACGTAAATACACATACCATATTTTTTATGTTTTGACTACTCTACGGCGTTTTTAAATCGAGGGCGACTTTTATGTGTTAAGGTGTTTGGGATTATTCGGCTATTTCCGATACGCACGACTTTGCTGCCTGCACATACACAGGGACGTCTTAAACTAGGATGGGGCCCTTGGGCACACAAGAATTTGAGGCCCTTTTGGAAAGTAAAAAAAGCGAATTATAATAACATTTTTTTACTGAGTATGACCATTTATTATAGGTAATCAAATACAGTATGATATAATATGTCATTAATGATATTCGAATGCTGCTGGGTTTTTGGTTACGATTTCGATAACGGTTTCTTTCGGGATTTCTGTTGAGCAAAATCTTTTATTATAGGCATAGTATATGCCTTGTAAATACCTTCTAATTACTGATTTGTGAAAAAAGTGTAATGTGCCCGACAAAAATGTTTTGAGAATAAACGTGTGAGAGAAATTGTCGGTCTTTCGGGGACCCCTGAGAATGGGGGCCCTGGGCACGGGCCTCGTGTGCCCTTATGGTAAAGACGGTATTGCACATACATATGTATTAGGTACGTGGCGATAGGTATCATAGAGTAATTTGATATGTGCCCGAATCGCGCTATGTTTAACGTCGTCGTGGCCTAAAGGATAAGACGTCCGGTGCATTCGTGTTGAGCGATGCCCTGTCCTGGTGAAACTGGAAAGGCCTCCGGGCCACCAGTAATCCTTCATACATAAAATAAAAAAAAAAAAAAAAAAAAGTTGAGCGATGCACCGGTATTCGGATCTCAGACGGGTACCAATTTTTCTAATGAAATACGTACACAACAAATGTTCACGACTGACTTCCACGGTGAAGGAAATAACATCGTGTAATAAAAATCAAACCCGCAAAATTATAATTTATGTAATTACTGGTGGTAGGACCTCTTGTGAATCCGCACGGATAGGTACCACCACCCTGCCTATTTCTGCCGTGAAGCAGTAATGCGTTTCGGTTTAAAAGGTGGGGCAGCCGTTGTAATTATACTAAGACCTTAAAACTCATATCTCAAGGTGGGTGGCAGCATTTACGTTGTAGATGTCTATGGGCTCCGGTAACCATTTAACACCAAGTGGGTTGTGAGCTCATCCAGCCATCTATGCAATAAATAAAAAAATTCAAAAAAATCTTTAGTTCAATGCAAAGCAGTAATGCGTTTCGGTTTGAAGGGTGGGGCAGCCGTTGTAACTATACTTGAGATCTTAAAACTTATATCTCAAGGTGGGTGGCGCATTTACGTTGTGAATGTCTATGGGCTCCAGTAACCATTTAACACCAGGTGGGCTGTGAGCTCGTCCACCCATCTAAGCATTAAAATAAAAATAAAAAAGATAAAATTGCATTTAAACAATTTCCGAACAACGTTGGGACTACTTGGGACCGACGGTCTACCGATCAATTTTCCTCGCTTGGTGGAAGATCTACCCGTTTGTCGATACGCCTAAAGATAGATAATTTTCTTTCGGCAGACTGCTTTAAGCATGAACATACTGACAAAAACGCTCATGGTTTCCTAACAATCGCGAATGACCGAGAAACTTGGATAGGTCATATCACAAACTAAGCTGACTTATTTCTCACTACCAGTTGTTGATTTTCATAGAAGCTTTCTTAATTATACTGTAATAATCGGTGGTATTGGTCAGCAACGCTTTTTAACTAACATCACCTGACTTGACTGTTATTTTCACAGTAGGTGGTTGAATTCACCTACAATGGTTGAATTCATTACCCAATATAAAGCAATATCCAGAAATAAACATCGACAATTAAAATACATTCAATTTATTTTGTATTTCTAAATCATTCGGGATGCTTTACCATCTATTTCTTATTATTATAATTTATTCTTTTTTCATCACCCTTTGTCGGCAACCGAACGCGCATACGGAGCTGTACCCGATTGTGAGTGGTTGGTGTTGATGAACCCGGCGGTTCTTGATAGTATAGATGAGCTTTGCACCGGTGGCGGGAGGTGCGATGGTAAAAAGGTGATGGAGGGATCATTTCGAACAACTCTTCAGAGCATTCCCAGGAACATACGCTAAAAAACACAGAAATAACCGAATTCCAAACGATCTGTGAGACCGGGTTTATCGACAAAACGACGAGTCCCTTTCTGCATGGAGTCAAATGGAAGTAGCTAGTATTTGGGAGTCTCGGCCCGAAAGGTTTATAAAGCTGTTTCATCTCACACCTCAAGGTGTGCTCGATACTCGATGCAAACCTCCATCTCATGATTGTGACGTGTGTGTGTGATGCCGCATTATCACGTATTGGATACAGTAAGCAGAATGGCCGTTACGCAGTTTAACATTTACGATAATAAAAACAGTATAAACATTTGCGGTGCTTTTTTTTTTTCCTACCTAAGCTGATAGCCTTGAGAGGCTATTTCAGCGTAACCGTGGCTAGTAGGTGAGCTCACGGGGCTCAAACCTGACGACGATGCTAACACGAACCTTAGCAAGAGCCGTGCTTCGCAGAATCTACCACCGGATCGGAAACGCGACCCACTGAGAAGATCCGGCGAGAAACTCAGTGGGCTGTGTCTGAGAAACGGTGCGACAGTACACATTTCCGAAGTATGTACAGTCTAAAAGACAAATCAACCGGTGTACCTAATCATTAGCAAGCATGCGTCCTGGTTTTGTTCCTCAATTTAGATCTCAAAGCGGGCAACGGTATTTACGGTATGCTCTATCATGAACTTCGATAACTTGTAAATAATGTAATAATTAAAATGAAGTGAAAGCTACAAATTGTTATCAATCATTGACGAATCGTAGTTAACTTGGTTTACGTGACACTAGACTCATGTTGAAAGCAGCATAACTAGATCAATATGACAGAGACGGGTAGAATAATAAAAGGTATATGCGTAGTTAGTCATCAGTAGTAATCGTTATCTTGATGAATTAATGAGGTCTAATTGTTTGACTTCCGACTTTTAATACTTGGAATAAAGACAAATTTAACTGCAATACATCTATCTAGTTTTGAAATGTTAGTGTTATTTGTGCCACAATACACAGTACAATGAGACAACCAATGTAATTACCAAAACACTGATTATTTGTATACAATTGTTTATTACAAATAACTTTTAACTATAATATACATAATGCTGCTCATGGTACAAATTACAAAAGCCACTGTAAATAAGTAATTATATAATATAATATAAAGTGACCCCAATTTGGAATCATAGGTATTTTAAACATTTGTTATTGTCTGCTTTGATTACTTCGAATCATTTTGATTGTCTTTATATTTATTTACAGTACATAATTGAAATAACAAAGGGCAATGAGGTAAAGCTATTCTGGGTTGAAACAAGTCATTGAAAGACTTATATATAAAATAGATAAACTTATTTTATTTATATAAATGTAACAAAATTTTAGTTGCCATAAACAGCTGTAGAACTTACAAATAAGCATAAAAAAGCTTCTTAAATTATTATTATACATTAGTAAAAATTTTGCAAATTTGCAAGGTTTAATAGAAAAATATGTGGTGGGATAAAATTTGATTAAAAATTGAGTTACGTATTCAAAATGCAGCAGTAACAAATTATGAAAACTTTCACTTTAATACTATTAAATCTAGAACGCTACATTATTATAATCTAACACACATTCCCTTACCATAGTGGACTGTTGATATAAAAATATTTTGTACTTCTGAAAATTTTATCATTATTAACGAAGTATCTGAACAACTGTTATTAAAATTATAATGGCAATCATCTAAAATCACCTTTACATATTTTGTGATAGGTTTACTATATGTATCTTTTGGGCCTGTATGATACAGTACGATACAGGCCCAAAAGCAGCAATTTGAAATTGAAATGAAATCTACAATGTTAATGAACTGCTAATAGGTTTACTCCATCTTATGGATATAATGTTTATTTCAATTGACATAAAAAAGAATAGAGGGAAGTCAGTTCAGTCTAATCTATGGGAAGTCAGTTCAGTCTAATCTACTGTTGCTCAACATACATAGTAGACTATAAAGTTGAATTGACAATTTTGATCATCTTAAATAATAATACATTCCATTCAATATACTGTTATTTGTTTTTTTATTGCTTAGGTGGTTGGACGAGCTCACAGCCCACCTAGTGTTAAGTGGTTACCGGAGCCCATAAAAATTGTACTAAGTAATGTAGCTAGTAATATTTGTACTAAGTTCTATGATAAAATGTAATATACTCAATTTAAACTATATTAGATAATATAGACATTAAGTACACATATTTTATGTCTTATGCCGTACAAACAACAATAACAGAATGGAAAATCATAAAAATTAATAAAAATTCAATTAAACAACCAAAGGAATGTTAGAAGTAACAAAATACAAAACTAAAACTATTATTTTTTATATTTATCAGCCGTGATATGTTTACATTTTTCTTTCTCTTATTTTCTACACATAATTCACTGATAGTCAGTCTTTTGTTCACTGAATAATGAACACTTGTTGAATTTAATTGTTGGGTTCTGTTTAACCATGTCACATTTTTGTGGTAGCTTCTAGTGAGCGCAGCAATGGTGCGCGGGCCATATACTAGAAACGGTCTTTAGAGGCATGCAAGTCTGGGTTGGTCAGGTACTGTAGCTCTTGAAGCTCCTGGAACTTTTCATGATCACGGATATGTGCATAATTAGCTGATAAGCACATCAAATAATGCACTAAACTCAATATGACTAAGATACATGACACCATTGCAAGGATAAACATAAATTCTGCTTTTTCAACGTAATCTTTGCAAAAAAGTTTTATTTTGTGTGGTTCGCATATTTTCATGTCTTCTTGCTTCACCGTTGAAGGAAACATGAAGTCGAATTGAGTGAAATCTATACAAGTTGATGATACAATATTTTCTGGTTTTGAACATAATTTCCAGAATATTGTGAACAAAAATGTTGTTATTACTAGAAATCCTAGCAACACTATCCAAACAAAGGTCAAAATATATGTTATGATCATAAAAACGGCACACGATATTCTCCCACCGACCCGAGCTCTCCACGCCCGATAAACTTTCTGGCGAGTTGCACCTGTAGTCAAACAGCCTAGACAAAGTAACATAAATCCTAGTGCTGCCATGCATGCACTTCCCACAATGAATATCATCTGCAGGGCTTCAATCCAAATCAATCGAAAGTGGAATACTTCGTCGAACATAAGGATGGAGAGTGCAGATCCACGGTACATGGTCCCACAAAACACACCCACGCCTAGACAACACATTATTGTAGCGATAAGGGTTGCATGTGGCACCCTTGTTAGACAAGCTTGACACGCGTCCCCCATTATTTTGTTAATTCTTATTCACTTTTAGAATCAAAACTTTTGGTCCGAAGATACACAATTATACACTGAACAAAAAACTATTTAATGTTTTTGAGTTCACTGATGTCAAGATTCAAGATTCTTATTGTCTATGGTCAAGATGACGAAGGCGAACAAACCAACGACCGAACAAAAGTTGAGTGTACACATATTAACAGAACAAAATAAATAAAAATTGCTGAAATTTTCTGGCAATCTGAGAATTATTTTATTTTTCATAATTAGTGTAATAACGACGGCTTATTAACTGTTTAGCATCTGTAAAAATAGACTAATTAGGGAAATGAATCAAGCCGCAGTTTTTCCCATGTAGCTTGTCGGGATCTTCTAAAAAGTCCATTGAAAATGTGTCAATAAATAACCGTCATTTCACTGAGAATATTTAATGATACCTCATCTCGTTTCGTTTAATTTAATATATTCTATAAATTCTGATCTATTTTATTTAGTCTTTAAATCGCAATCGCATCGCATCGCATCTTTTTATTGAAAACTACATCATAATTATCATTTTTGTTTCTCAAATCTACTCGGCTTTTATAAAAATTACCCATAAGCAGAGTATGTTCTATTTACTTGTCTAATTATAGAAGATAACTATTTTGATTATATAGATTCAGTGTTTCTTTTTCAAGGTTTAAATGTAAGGTAAGGTTTAAATATAAGCCCTTATTAATCACTAGCATCTATAAGCTGCACAAGCTGGGAAAATCAAACCAAATCGCTTGATGTGGCTTCTTGGGTTTTTAATACGTTCATTCACCCTCATCATTTTTTCCAAGACCGACAATGTTACTTTACCTTACCTAATTAATTTCATATTATTCTGTTCTGATTTTGAATTTGTTTTAATGTCCAAAGATCATTCACTTCGCATACAAAAGTCATGACTTCGACTTATGTTATAAAATATTTGGCAGTATGGGCTGCATTTTCTGTGTCTAAATAATGGACGAACAAAGCGAAGAATTGTTTAATGAAATTTGCACGAAATTTGTGATGTGTGACATGCAGTGCTGCTAACTTTTCGGTAGATCTACCAACTTTTAGTGTCGTAATCAAACCTACCACTTTGTAGCAAAAATCTACCAACTTTTGAAGTTTTCAAAAAGTTCAAATCAAACCATGAAAATAATAATGAAACAATTTTTTTTTTTTCATATTCTTTTCAATTATCACTATTTTCTATTAATATTTTGAATATTAGTGGCCTGTAATTCTGTTTTATCATTGGATTTCTAATAAAAATAGTTCAAATATGTCTTATCCAATCGAAAAGTAAATTAAGGATGCCAGATTCTTATTGGAGGGTCTCTAAAAGACTTGAAAAGTATGGGTGGTAGATCTACCAACTTTTCATAGTAGGGTTTGTTGGAAACTTCCAGCTTGTAGAAACCTATCTCCACCTTGACGAATTTCGAGTTGGCAACGCTGGTGACATGTGTGTGACACATCATGTGTCAGACGTGTCAGTGTCGTCACGATTTGATCACGTCAAATGCTGCCCTTCGAAAAGGTTCACAATCTACCTAACTTAAACAGTATAAATATTTATTATCGTTGATACGATAATATAAAACTTTAAGAAAACATTTTACGTGATTATGAATAATTTAATATAAATGACCACTGAAATTATTTGAAATCCTATTTAAAAAAATACATTACCAATATGGAAACATTATACCATCAGACAAATCAATTGCTGCAAGAAACTACAGATCTTTTTAATAAATTAGAGAGAGATCCAGCCAATCACCAACAAATAGAAAATGCAATTCAATCAAAGATAAACACAGTCAATGCGTAAGTAACATTAATTTGCTTGTATTTTATTCTTATCTGAAATGTACTGTAAACTGCTAATAGTAAAACTTATGATCATTAAATTCTCTGTTTCATATTTAATAATTTACAAGCTAACTGGCTTGGGAACCACTTAACGTAATGGCATTTCTGCTTAACTGTAAAATTTATAAGATAATTTAAATCGTAAATTAAAAATATACATATTTACATCAATTTGCACATATTTTATAATGATATTATTATTTTACTATTAGACAAACTAGATTTAAATGTTAATAAAATACATATAATAAGATCAAACCAAACTTAAATTTTATTTGTATTCTCCAGGAACTGTGAAAAACTAGATATTTATGTTTTTAAAACACCAATAAATCAAAGGTCTATGGCTAAAATGAGAGTGGACCAGCTGAAGTATGATAACAAACACATACAGGTAAAAAAAAGTACTGTGTGTATATTAGCCAATGTGTATGTATGTAGCTTGGGCTGACAATGTGATTGTTCACAGACTTCTGACAATTGACAGAGACAGATTTTTGCTAAAACAAGAAAACATATCACTCCACAGGCTTCTCTAATAAATGCCCAAAACAAAAGACAAAAACGGGAACAAGAATTAGCTGAAAGGGAACAACTTTTGAACCGGCGTTTTGGACATGATCATACAGAAATAAATGTAGACTACTTAGCTCAAGAGCAAGCGTCTTTGCAGAATTCACATAGACATGTCGATGATATGTTGCATACAGGTAAGATCAATTGAATTTGGAATATGTATTTTGACTTATCACAACTAATTGTAGTTGGAGTTCCATAAGAACTATATTTTCACATGTAGTTTATTTTGTTTTAAAGTCACTTAACACCAGGCGGGCTGTGAGCTCGTCCACCCATCTAAGCAATAAAAAAAAATATGTAAATTTTATTTAAAATAATAATTTTAGTTTTGATTTAATAATTTTAATTTATCTTGATTTGCAATGTTTTCATATATTTGCCAAAGTAGCTTATGGCCATGGCTCATCACTATCGAATTTAAGCAGATACATATATCTGGTAGAACAATAAACATGTCAACTAGAAATCAGTGAAACACTTTCAAGTGCAATAGAAAATTGTTATTCTAAAATTGTAAATTTTTAAGGCAAATTTACGTTTCACCAACCATCTTTATGTCTTTGTCGGCACTGATTTCAATAAATCTTATGTGTATGATCTAGAACTGATAGATAATGTAGGGTCAATCTGGTAATGCTTTTGTTAATATATGTACATATTAATAAATAATTTTGTACCCATACTAAAATATATAAGTTTGACAATGCTGATTATGACAATTGATTAATATTCTTTGCGCAAGTGTGTAGTTGTTTGAAAATATCAACTATAGAGATGGGGTAATTAATGCTATGCTCAGGGAATGCACTGGGGGCTCTTAAATGTATGAACAAGACCATCAGAGTTTTATAAATTGACACAGAATCGGTATCCCATAGATATCTTTATCGCATTTATAAATGAAAATAAATAACAGTTTAAAAAAACTAACAAAATATGCTTTTATAGAAATCCAACTAAAAAATAGGAAATAAATTTTAATAAATTTGAATTAAAAATAGTGTAAGAAAAAATTATTTTATTGTAAAAAAGCGTGGGGTGTTTTTCAGAATATTATCAAAATAACCCTTCTACTCATATCTTTTCATAAAATATTTATAACTACTGATACCGTGCACCCCACGCTTTTTTTACAATAAAAATATTTTTTCTTACACTATTTTTAATTCAAATTTATTAGAATTTATTTTCTGTTGGATTTGATTTTTTGTTTTTTTAAAGGTTTAGACGAAGAACTTTATGAAGGCTGAATTTTTAAATTAAAAAACAAACGTATTAGAGCTGGGTCCGTACTTAAATATTTTGAAATCGTGAGCTGATATACCAGAAAACAAGATGTGTACAAAAATAAAGATAAAAATCTTCTTTCCTCTCAAATTAAATTAATGAACCTGATTAGTAACCCCTCCAACGCTATAATAACAAGCGCGACTTAGACTATGACCCCTGATGACGTCATGTATTTTGCAAGTTGAACACGGAGTGTCGCTGCGTTCACTTGTATAGTGTGAAAACATTTTATACAATCTTAATAAAATATTCAGATTAAATGCAGAACGTATAGAAAATTACAAAGTGAATAATAATAAAAATAATAAATAATTTTGTTCGCATTCGGAATACTCAAGAATAAAATTCGTTCGAAATTATCAGTTTACAAATACAGTGTAAATTATATTCTAGGTAGGTACTTACCACATTTTGGTTTTGGGTCTGTTGACGTTAGTGTAGAAAGACGTATATTTCCGTCACTTCGATTGTAAAACAAGACTAACCCGTCCGACCTAGTGAACACGCATGATCACTTCAAGGCAACAAATAAACAAGATAATTAATAACCGGTAAATGCATTACCACGTAACCTAGATTAGATACACTGAAGTCTACGCCATGAGTTGTCTAATTCACTTGAACTCCGAGCAGGGATAATTATTACTGTTAATTAAACCGCGTTAATGCGACTGGTCCCATTGTTTCTGATGCCGATACTCATTTAAACATAACAAATATATTTATAAAATAACGTAGTCACAAAGATACATTTTTTTCGACTACAATTTATTGTGTTGATTATTTTGGCCTTGACTTCTTCCTGCGCATGGGAAGTTGACGATAATAACAATTTAAAACATTTACACTGGATGATTATTCATTAATTTGGAAAAATTAAATAAATGAAATTGAGATAATAGCTAGTAAAAATACGGAGGCCATGGAAAACGAAGGCATTTTGTAGTGCCGGTTATTACTGAAACGATGATGACAAAAAGACTCGGTTCTAAAATAATAATAAAAAAACGGGATTCGGGGTTCGGTCCTTTGTTTAGTACGCAATGGAACACTACTCGGAATTTATGGTCAAAGTATAATGGTGTTCGTTAAAATCTTTTACTATCTTATTTAAATATTGATTGCACATTTATTTTTTATTGCATTTTATTTATTTTCATAGAAATGAGCAGCAGAGAGGCACCTACCAGTCCGGACTTACTACACATAATATTAAATTACAATTAAATAATTCTCGCCAAAAAATATACGCACACCGCGGACATTTACAACACCGCAAGGTTGAAGCGGTGCAAAAACGACTTCTTTATTTCTGTTCATTGAATTCCGAGTTTTTATTTTTATTGAATAGGTACCTAACTTACTTTGTACTTCTATGTATAGAAAAGATCCGGGTAAAGTGACGTCTACCTAGCTATAAAAGAATTTGAACCAGAAAACCAAGTTGCATGCTTTTTTATTTATTGCTTAGTTGGGTGGACGAGCTCACCGCCCACCAGGTGTTAAGTGGTTACTGGACATCTACAACGTAAATGCGCCACCCACCTTGAGATATAAGTTCTAAGGTCTCAGTATATGTAGTTACAACAGCTGCCCCACCCTTCAAACCGAAACGCATTACTGCTTCACAGCAGAAATAGGCAGGGTGGCGATACCTGCCCGCGCGGACTCACAAGAGGTTCTACCACCAGTAATTACCTACGCTAATTATAATTTTGCGGGTTTGATTTTTATTACACGGTGTTATTCCTTCACCGTGGAAGTCAATCGTGAACATTTGTTTATGTAAAAACCAAGAATATTTTTATCCAACTTGTCTCTTACAATACCTAATTGGTTTTTCATTACTACGCCTATGAACTCTTAATATCATAAAATGTGGTTTAAGTCCAGCTATTAATTATGATCTAGTTTAGAAATTGAATATTGTTTATGTTAAGCAAGATATCGTTCATTGCATCTACCACCGGATTGGAAACGCGACCCACTGAGAAGATCCGGCGAAAAACTCAGTGGGCTGTGTCTGTGGGTTAGTTTACTCGCCGAGTCCTTCGTCGCAGGCGACGGGTTTGACGAGAACGATGACCGGTTCTGTTCTATTAATGACAGGCGGCGTGGCGCTAGCAAGTCCTGAGACAACATACACACACCACCACAAATATATCATGATCGTTTAAATATATGTATATATATATAAAGCGAATTACTGTTCGTTAGTCTCGCTAAAACTCGAGAACGGCTGGACCGATTTGGCTAATTTTGGTCTTGAATTATTTATGGAAGTCCAGAGAAGGTTTAAAAGGTAGATAAATATGAAAATGCTCGGAATTAAATAAAAATAACAATTTTGTTTTCCCTTTGATGTGTCCCCCGTCGGACGGATTCCTTTTATACAAAAGGTTAGATCTTTTATTTATTGATTGAGGCACTACGAAGTCTGCCGGGTCGGCTAGTTACTATTATTTTTGTTCTGCACGCTATGTAACATGTTTTGTAGCTTCCTTCACTTTGATTGCCGTTTCACGAAATGTAAAATTACTAAAGGAACAAGCACACGCTTAGAAATACGGCTTTATAATGAGTTACCGGAGTTGCATAAGCCCGTTATAAGAAGATTGTCAAAAAGTGTTATTCATTGATATAACTTAATACAACTGGCTTATAAAGCTCGGACAGCTCATTATAAATAAGTCTATAACTCATGATTTTGTTTGTTTTACGTTTGTGTTAAGGTAGAAATATTATTCTTCCCTTCGACTACGGGGTTACATTAGACCCTGAATAATAAAAACGATATTTTTGCATTCTGGTAAAATTGTTTTATGTTTCCATGAGTGGGAACATAAAACAATACAAGGGACCAATTATACATCCCACACTAAGTTTGGACTAATACTAAGTGTTGCGTTTGAAATCTGTCGGCAAGAGAACACGGAGAAAACATGTTAATTTTAAAATGCTTATAAAAACTCGGTACCTACCCTTAAAGTAAAGTAAAGTAAAAGTAAAATTACCTTACGATTAGTAGTTTCGAGGTGTCCCAAACATAATTTATGTAATTAATACACTGCACCATCGCACTCCCTTTATGAGAACTTAATTAAATCAACTCGTGATTAATCACTTATTTTAGTTTTATAAGACTAGTAGAAGTCATTTAAAAAAATTATTACGTTATTTTACGTGACTATTAGCGGGTAGGTAGCTGTTGAGATATTAGACAAGAGATAAATTCGCCTCAAATAATTCGTTATCGTTTTTGCTGTGAAGCAATCACGCGTTCTGCTTTGAAGGCTTTCCAATACGATCGAACCTTCAATGTTATGTTTCAAAGTGGACGCTCATGTTTCTGGAGTACATTCGATTTGGCAACCCCAATTAAGGGATGTCGCTCGTCCCTTTTTTACCCGACCAAATGTGTATTTGTCTGTAAGGACGTTATATTTTTTTAAATTACGATTGAAAATATTGTTGCTAATGAAACCATCCGATGATCTGTAAAAAGACACCGGTTTTTCTTGTTCGTGTGCATCGGTCGCTCTAACTTTTAATTCTGTTGAATGTTTCTCTTTTCATATACCTCAATATGCATTTCTTCGTCAATACGTAAGTAGGCAGTCTCAGTAAAATGGTAACTTTCCGAGGCTCCAATATTTTTTGACTATTTTTAACACAAGAAACTATACACGCACTACCACACTAATTTAACAAAAAAATTTTTGAAGTATTACTCGTGGCCCGGAGGCCTTTCCAGTTTCACCATGACAGGTGGCGAGTAAAGGCTCAGCCAAGTGGGGTGGGATTTGCTAACAGCTGCCCAAGCGCCTCCGAAGGAGACCTAACAACTCAAGAGCAGCTGCTTCGCGAATGAATCTACTACCGGATCGGAATCGCGACCCGCTGAGAAGTTCCGGCGAGAAACTCAGCGGGCTGATGCATGGGTTAGGTTGCACGTCGAACTCTTTGTCGATTTCGACGAGTACGGTTACCTAAGCCTGCTCCTAGTATTAGAGCTGAAGGCGACTAATGCAAGGTTATTGGATCTGATGGATCCGTAAGATGTTATAAAAGTTCGCCAATTCAGGAAACATGAAATTAAATCGCACATTTTTGTTCGCAGGTACGAATATTTTAAACACGCTAAAATATAACAGAGACACGATCAAGAGTGCCCATAGGAGGATCATCGATTTGGCCAATACCCTGGGCTTGTCTAATGCGACTATCTCACTGATAGAACGCAGAGTTTCCCAGGACAAATATATTTTGTTTGGCGGAATGATATTCACTTTGGGTGTTATCGTTCTTGTTGTTATGTACTTGACGTAGCATTTATGGCGTACTTTGAAATACTAGTGCTGTGTATTTAATGTTTATATGTAGTTTAAGAAAAAAACGACAACTCCGAGGGTTGAAGAGACTAAAGCCGCCAACAACGGTATTAACACTGGTATTGCCAATGTCTACGAGCGATGATGATCACTCGTCATTCGATGTTCATTGATATAAATATGATAATGTATCAAAAGTTCGCTTTCGAGTTTAGGGTGTGTTTCGAGAAGTAAACGTTATGTAATAAGTTAAATATGCTTTTTTGTTGGCAAATATCTTTTTTTTATTTTTATAATGATATGTTATCATTTGGAATAATTGTGGAAATCATTCGCGATAAGGTCGAGTACAAAAAAATTGTGGCCGTCTCAGAAACGAACCACAGATTATTCGCATGACTACAAGTGCATGCTTTAGCGATGATGATAATAATAATAGAATTGATTGAAACGGTATCACATGTTGTTTAGTATTTTTATACAACTAATTATTATTGTACTTTAATTTATTGTTAAACCTAAGTTGAAAGTTTTGTTAGTGAAATAACATTCCCCTGCTAATATAAGTTATGAAGCTTTTCCGGACACTCGAGGAATTCCATATTCATCTAGTGGACATCTTGCGACATTGGTGCAATTGCCGCAACTTAAAACAATGTACGGAAGGTGAATACAATAAAGCATTCGTAATAAAACTTCTATAAACATTTATTTTATTGGATATTGTTATGTTTGTTGTAAACATTAAGGAATGTAATTCGTTAAGTATTATTTTATTAAAATTTTACACAAAGTTGCCTTTTTATTATGACTTAACTCGATCAGTGACTTGCGATTTCAAATTTAGTACCAACGGCAACTCGAAAGTGGATTGTAGTAAAATACACAACCTTCCACTTTTAACATCTTTACATAGATACAGTTTTTTATTTGTTTAGTATTCGCCCAGTTTTTTTATGCGGCATAGTTATGGTACTTGGGTCATACACAAATAGAGAACAAAAAAGTGCAGCAAAAAAAAATATCTCAGAATCAGTGTGAAACAAACCATTTATTATTTAACTATTGATTATCAATCTTTTAATCACTGTAACCGAGATCAATATGTCTTATTTTTGGCATAATCGGAATTTTTATATTTTTGCGGACCACAGAAGATGAAAAGCTGTGATGCAGCGTAAGCTAAAATATATTAAGACAACATAATAAAACACATGTAGCCTGATATAAACGAATACCGAAACGCAAATAAAATGTCAAAATAATCACATTAATTGGAAAATAAAAAATAAAATAATAATGTCTACAGAAAGGAAAATCCCTTCGGTGGACTTATGAAACTATATAAACTATATGAATATATATTACTCGTATATAATTCTTTAGATAGCTAATGAATTTTAATATGCAATGTAATGAAATTTAAGGACTTTGATTATTTCAAAATATTTCCAGAGAACTATCAGAATCGTCTGAATTAGCATGAACTAAAACGAAGCAAGATATGGATTAACCCACGTTGGGTCGTGCCCCCTGAACGAAATCAATAGAAATAAAAAAAATGTTTTCGTTTCCTCTATTTACATTGATTAGATTTATAATTTTTTTTATTGCGAATATAAAATGTACTAAAAAGTTTGAGGCTCTAACTTAGAATATCAAATGTTGCCAAAATCAAACCTCTTTCTAACCAACTTTAAAAAAGGAGTAGGCCCTCGGTTCAACTATTTTTCTACTAACTACTTTCTCTACTTAGACCTACTAAGGTATGTTTCTTACACATTTTCTGTGGACATAGTCTTTTCGGTGGACACTGGGACCACAGCAAAGATGTCCACAGAAAAGATGTATTATAAAAACTCTTGCGTAAAGAAATTGACTTTGAGGTTAGAAATCAAGCAACATGCTTTTCATTTACTTGTACTAAATGCTCATATAAAAACAATAAATATACATTTTTATAGATAATATTTACATGTCTATAATTGGAACAGGAAAGAACACTTGATCTTTTACGTTTATGTGTGTTTTGGAATAAAAAATATATTTTCACTCGCACTGGAATCGAAACAACAAAATATCNAGGTTAGAAATCAAGCAACATGCTTTTCATTTACTTGTACTAAATGCTCATATAAAAACAATAAATATACATTTTTATAGATAATATTTACATGTCTATAATTGGAACAGGAAAGAACACTTGATCTTTTACGTTTATGTGTGTTTTGGAATAAAAAATATATTTTCACTCGCACTGGAATCGAAACAACAAAATATCAAACGGCGGAATGGCCATATTTAGTAATGCCAACAGTTAAAAACATAAACTTAATGCGGTCGAATAAATTAAAATTTGATGTCGTTTTATCGCGTCCACAGAAAAGACTCCATTTCATGTAACCATAAGTTTATTGGGTTTATTGTATACAGATAGTAACGATATATTTTTTTTATTCTCAATATTATCATCTTTATTATATTGTTTGTGTTACAAGTAAATAATTTTAATATATAGGGTACTTTAACTATTTTTAAACATGGCTCAAACATTATACCTTCGTCTTGTAACAGTCCACAGGAAGAGATTTTTTGATATTTAACGCCATCAAAATGAATTTATGAAATGTAATATTTTACAAGATACGATTAAAATGAGTAGTAATATAGTAAGTACCTTTACGATTTAAATACTTTCAAATATTCGCCAATTTGCTCTTTTAGATGATACATTGCTATAACACTTTTTTTACCCTTTTTGTGTATATATGTTTTTTTTTTCTGGTCAGGAGGAAATCGCCGGACTTCCGCCCTCCATCTCCAGTGGAGCATGTCGGAGTCGAACCAACGTCCAAACCTCGCATGAGACAGAACTCATGAAAAGGGGGAAAAGTTAAGCGTTTAGTGCGGAGCACGTCTCTCCCATCACCCTCTTTTTTTATTGCTTAGATTGGTGGACGAGCTCACAGCCCACCTGTTGTTAAGCGGTTACTGGAGCCCATTGACATCTACGACCTAAATGCGCCACCCACCTTGAGATATAAGTTCTAAGATCTCAAGTATAGTTACAACGGCTGCCCCGTCCTTCAAACCGAAACGCATTACTGCTTCACGTCAGAAACAGGCGGGGTGGTAGTACCTACCCACGCGGACTCATAAGAGGTCCTACCACCAGTTTAACAGTAATAGTTTTCAAAAATAACATACACAAGTATCTAGATATTTTTTGTATCAATCATAATATCAATGTACCTACCATTATTTTATTCTGCACTACCTTGGTTTGACTGATAGAAAATGCTTTAGGCCAGTTTAGGCGTTACGTCCGCTAATTTAATACATGAAGTGTATTATGTTAATAAATACTTTACTGTAAAAAAAAACACGGAGAATGCACTGGTTTACACTAGTGGTAGGACCTCATGTGAGTTCGCACAGGTAGGTACCACCACCCCGCCTATTTCTGCCGTGAAGCAGTAATGCGTTTCGGTTTGAAGGGTGGGTGGGGCAGCCGTTGTAACTATACTGAGACTTTAGAGCTTATATCAAGGTAGGTGGCCCATTTACATTGTAGATGTCTATGGGCTCAATTAACATTTACACGAGGTGGGCTGTGAGCATGTTCACCCATCTAAACAATATTTTTTTTTTATAGTAAGTCAAGTAAACATAAATAACAATAAAATTGATTAATGAAGATACAATTTCTAAATGATTCTTTTCGTAAACAATAGCCTTTTTTTGACTAATCATGCCCACCTTCGCGTTCCCCCCATTCGAAATTGAACTTTAGCGGTTTACAAAAAGTTACAGCTAAATGTATGTATTTTATTTGGAGTATATTTCTACTTACCTGTAGTTTAATAATACTTGAACATTTTTCTATCTACCTGTAGATAGAAAAGTAGTGATACTGTGTTTCATGGGTATTCAGTCGCTCCGACGATTAATGAGTAGACGCGGTCAAAAAGATGTAATATTTGTATTTTGATAAAACAGTCGCAGTACCAATAATGATGTGAAAAAAAAAACAAGTTCTCATTGATTTTTTTTTTAATTAGCCAAAATTCACACGCACATTTATTTTGTAGAATAATACTATATAATTAACTTTAAACGGGTTTGCATGTAGGTACGTACATAAACAAAACAGTAGTAAACCGTTTTTTCATGCAGCATATTTTATAACGTATAGTAAGCCGAGTAGTTTGAGCATAAACGCGACCTTCGAATTCAATAAACACTCATTTAAATCAAAATTTATTGTCTCTTATCCGGGTCACAACATGGTAGCCCAGGTTTCACGTGAGCACATTCAAAGGCCACATCCTCCGGCTTCATTGGGGCGCAAGGTCCCGTTTCTTCGTGCGGCGGGTTCGTACACGCCTGCACCGGCGGCGCGGGCTCCCTCGGGAGGGCGGCGACGCGACCGGCCGCGGGCGATATCTGTGGCACGTCTTGACGTAACCTCTTAACACGTTCATACGCGTCGCTTGGAAGCTTCATAAAGTCTGGCGTCTTTGTAAAAGAAAAAAAAAACATTATGAACTATAAAGCTATGTATGTATGATTCGACTATTTTAATCTACATTTCTTTTTATTGGCCTTGTATGCAGACGAGCATATGGCCTACACCTGATGGTGAGTGGTTACCGTAGCCCAATACTTCAGCAATGCCAGGGGCAGAGTCAAGCCGCTGCCTACCGTTAAGCAATCTCCACAAGCCTCGTTTGAAGAAGGATATGTCATAGTGCTCGGGAAACCCCGTGAAGGGGAGCTCATTCCATAGGCGGATGGTACGTGGCAAAAACGATTTCTGGAAACGCCCTATGGATGAACGCAGTTGCTCCAGGTAGTATAAATGAACTCTACTCCGATGACGAGCGGTGCGATGGTAAAAATGAGATGACGGTATCATCCCAAACAATTCCTCAGAACACTCCCATGAAATGAAATTTCTTGCACAACATGAAATTACCAACTAATAGGTACCAGCAATTTTACCACAGTTAAAATGAATTCCTGTGCTAATCGCTTTGTCCTTTAAGCCGTATCCAAATTCAGAACACACTGAATGCGATTTACGAACTTACCTACTTTCCTTTTGAGTATAATAGAATAGAATAGTTAACTAACGTCTAACCTCTTTGCAATCCACTCCATAAGTGCCCAAATAACCAGGAACCTGTCTGTTAAACTTTTCATCAGGGGGTGCGCCTGCAGTTTGAGCACTTGGAACTATATCATAAGGACATTCGTCACGGGCACGACGTTCCGCTCTTTCAGCTGCATCCTGTGAAAAGATAATACTATACTGAGACCTTAGAACTCATATCTCAAGGTGAGTGGCGGCATTTACGTTGTAGATGTCTGCGGGCTCAGGTAACCACTTAACAATTATATCACAATAAATCGCAATTTCATACTTTAACCCCTAATACCTACGTACGTCAAACCTCATGAGGACGCAACTAGAGTGGGTAAAAATATCACAAAAAAAAATCACAATATCAGCACAGTCAGTTGCTGTATTTATACCTACCTAAGTTCTATACTCCGGTGAATAATTGAATTAAGTTAATAATAAATAAACTAGATGGCGTTACTAGTTTCATAAACTACATTCGCTATAGGTGGCGACTTCACATGTTTTAATCGTGTTTTTTACCTATCTACCCTTTTATTAAATAGACATATCGTATATATTTTTTCTAACGAATCTTAATCATTTTCTTAATCGTTTTATAAAGCGTGTCAAATTATTAAATTTTTTTTTGCAGTATTTTATTCAGTTTTCGTGAGTCGTAAACATAATTAAAACTAGTTTCACGGCTTATTCATTATTTATTACGGCTTATTGTTTATTATTCTCACGATTATCATTTTCGTTGTAGTAAATATCAGTGTCGCAGGATTCCACTGATGCATGACCACGAGCACTCTGTCAAGAGTGTACAACTAGGAAGAAGAAGAAGTTAATCAAAAATTTCATGGTCGCGTACCGTAACCGTAAAAGTATTATAGTAATTATTAAATTTATTATATTAACTACATTGAAAACTCTTTATCGGAACAAATAGTAGGTACAGAGGCGAACTTAATAAATGCTACAGAGTATTGCCAGTGTTAATAAACTCTTTCAGGTTGAGCCTCGTAAGCCGAGTTACCAACCATAGCGTAGCTGGAATAGCCCATTAAGCTACTAGTGAAAAGATTAAAAAAAAATAACAGGGCATTGTTTACTATCTAAACTTAGTGCACACTTGTATAGTATGGCAAACAAAATTGCACACAAATAGATACTAACAACTATTACTACTACTTACTATTTGTGATCTACCATGAGTACTCGAGAAATCTAAGGTAGTATTGTAACTACCCACATAATTATTTGTATCTATACTAATATATAATATTATAAAGAAGAAAGCTTTGTTTGTTTGTTTGTATTGAATAGGCTCTCAAACTACTGAACCGATTTGAAAAATTCTTTCACTGTTTGGAAGCTACACTATTCCCGAGTGACATAGGCTATAATCTTTTTTGAAAAATTAGGGATCCCTACTAAAAGCCCCAATAATGTAACCCAAGGTGTAAAAAAATTACCTAAAATATTCTTTACATCACGTGCCCTGCGAAAACTATTGATGATAAAACAAAATAATGTATTAGGACTTTGTAGGACACATTATTATTTGCAAAAAGTGTTGCGACAGCATGTCTAACTATGCCGCAATAAGTGTTCTTTTATTTAAAAAAATAAAACAACGTCAAATATCGTTGAAATTTTTGTTAGAGACCCGAGCGGAGCCGGAGCGCGCCGCTTGTTCATTATAATGGGAGTTGACATAGTATATGTACTAACCGGGTCCTTAAATCTGTCGCAGAAGTCGGCTTGTTCGTTGAAATGCGGCTGTTGTCCTGGCGGATACGTCACGTGCTTGGCTTGTGCCCGGTGCTCGTCCGGAGCCGGCCCACTGAAGCACACCACCTTCTGGTGCTCGGCTGTGGCTTCCCCAGACTTGAGGATGCCCTTCAGAGGCGCGATCTCTTCACACGTTGGCTTACTTGAATCAGATGTTTAATAAAGTAAATAAATGAAGAAAGATACACCGTGAGCTTCTACGTAACTGTAGAGAGTACATTAAGAGACCAAATAAATATCTATAAGGATACTACAACCAAGTCAATAAATCAAACCAATTTTATTACAAAAAAATCCGATAATGAAAAGTGATAGAAGATTGCCAGACTTAAACATATTGAGAACTTTTAAAATATTTAAAGTTGACAGTGTTTTTATATATATAATCTATGGTTACCATGACGAAGGGTCACTTGCTCTTTTCAGTCGCGTGCTATTAAAAATAGAAATTCATCGCTAATCTCAGCTTAGAGGCCCGTGAGCTCACTTGCTCTTTCGGTTACGTTGGAATAGCCCTCTAAAAGAACCAACTTAGGTAGGAAAAAAATAGAAATAAAAATATCGCTAATAGTATCCCAACTGTGAAGCAGTCGTAAAATCGCAATACATTAAGTTCGCTCGTATAAAATTCCTAACAGCACTCATAGGCACCAAGATCAATGCTGTCACGCCCTTTGAGATAAGTTCAGCTTGGCAGTTGCGTTGTATAATTTAGATTTTTCTTTTTATTTATTTTTATTGCTTAGAGGGATGGACGAGTTCACAGCCCACCTGGTGTTAAGTGGTTACTGGAGCCCATAGACATCTACAACGTAAATGCGCCACCCACCTCGAGGTATAAGTTCTAAGGTCTCAGTATGTTACAACGGCTACCCCACCCTTCGAACCGAAACGCATTACTGCTTCACGGCGGAAATAGGCGGGGTGGTGGTACCTACCCGTGCGGACTTCCAAGAGGTCCTACCACCAGTGATTACGCAAATTATAATTTTGCGGGTTTGATTTTTATTGCACGATGTTATTCCTTCACCATGGAAGTCAATCGTGAACATCATACATACATAAACATTATACAATACATAATCTCTACATCATACAGGCTCACTGTACATTTTATCTTTTTTAACGAATGTATACTCTATAGTTCTAGTGTATGCATTTCTTTTTTGAAGTGGAACTTCTTTAGGTGCGTTGAGAATTAAATTTAACTCGCGACAGTTTCGTTACGGCTAGAGAGAAAAGATACAATTTAGGAAGAGCTAGACTGAGAAAATAGACGGAGCGTCTCGCGAACTACTCGACCGTGGAGAGAGGGAAAGGACAAAACGAGCTAGGTAATTTTTCTTATACACAGCATTCCCTATTACAAATTTGATTTAAGGATGAAAAATGAAGAAAACCACAATACTACACACCGCTAAAGAAGTTTCACTTCTTTCACGTGCACCAAATTGCAAGCGCACCTTTTTATTTATTTACTAGCTGACCCGGCAGACTTCGTAGTGTCTCAATCGATAAATAAAAAACAAACTTTTGTATAAAATAAACTTAAAACAAACAAAAGGAATCCGTCCGACGGGGGACACATCAAAGGAAAAACAAAATTGTTTGTTTTTATATAATTCCGAGCATTTTCATATTTTTACCACAAATAATTAAAGACCAAAATTAGCTAAACCGGTCCAGCCGATCTCGAGTTTTAACGAGACTAACGAACAGCAATTAATTTTTATATAGATAGAAGATAGATTTTTGTATCGCATACCTCTGTCGTGTAATACGTAAGGAATCATCATAGGGGATGCGATCGGTTGTGGTGGGCGGCGTCGGCGGTCTCGGCGGTGTCGCGCTGCCCTCCACGACATTGAGCGCCGACAGACACTGCTCCATCGGACTCGGCTCCGCGACAGCCGCTTGTCCAATTTTGGTGAGTTGAGCTCGAGTCTCAGCGGCCTGCTCTTCACGTATCGCCGCCTTTATATAAAATATACAAATTTAATATAAATGTCGGAATAGTTTAGTATAATATGTGTATTTACTATGTCATTATCAGGGGGATGTCAAATAAAAGTGTCCAAGGTAAGACGATCCGTTGTTAAGACGAGAAATAAAATTAATTGTGAAACACTTGAGGAAGTATTGCTTCATTCTACTACGCCATCCCGCATATATATAGTTTTAGATACGCCCGATTATAGACCTCTGGTCCTGAGCTGCAATTTGTTTTAAATATCTTTAGACTGGAATGTTGAATTTACAGTACATCAGAGAAAGTGTGAAAGTAGCCCCGATAGTTAATAAATTAAAGAGCGGACGGTTAGCATGGTATGGACATGTGATGCATAGAGAGAAGATGCTTGTAACTAGGAGATGTATGGAAATGGTAGTGCAAGGTCGAGGAGGAAGAGGTCGACCGAAGAAGACATGGATGGAGTGTGAATGACGATATGAAAGAAAGGAGTGAGCGTTGAGATGACGGTTGACAGAAGAGAATGGAATGGAACGGGATAGGTGGAGAAAAAGAAGACTGGAATGTTGAATTTAACCTAATTTTAGAACATTGCTTTTCTTTGTTTTTTCGTCTTCCATTGCGTCGTTTACCCGATAGGACCATTTTTTTACAGCTGTTATCAGCAGTATCGCCACCTACGCACAAGTAGCGCGCGAATAGTTTCAACTAACTTATTTATATATCATTGTAAAAAAGCATAACTGAATTATACTAATTACACTTAAGTGAAAGTGCTTTACTAATTGTAGCAATAATTTACAGAGTTCTGTGTATTTTTATATCTCACTAAGACTAACTGTAAATTTATTGCTTTATAGATTACGATCACATTCAGAACCTTAAAATATAGGTAATAGGGCGAATGTGACTACAAAACTGTTTGAAGCTAAACAGGTACCAACCACTTCGACTTCGAAACTTAGACCTTAGTCTCAGGTTGCACAGCGAAATTCTCATCGTAGTGTGTACAACCGCTTGACATCAGATAGCAACTGAGCCCAACCGCTGACTTACGCCAACATTTAAACGAAAAATCTACTCGCATGGCGTCATTATTACAAGCGAACACATCGGGCATTCTTATTTGATATCCGCGTAGAGGCCACCGGAAGCTCCCAGCAGTCCGCACTCCGGAACAAATAAAGGAAGTAGGTATTTGTCTTCGTTCTATGTTTACTATGTATAATATCCATTATCCATTAGGCTCATCGTGTAATTTGCTTTCGTATTGAACCAAATTGGCATGTTTATAGGTAATGGATTCCTAATAGGTATGTTAGCCTCGATTAGTTGAGGGTAAAGGGCAAGCTTTTATGTGTACCAAAACTACCGCTGTAGGGCTCTGTGACATTTTGGTGAGAAAATTTAAAAAGTTATAATGCACATTTATATTGCACTGTGAGTACTGCGATATTTCCCCGCCTTAAATTTTTTTATTGCTTAGATGGGTGGACGAGCTCACAGCCCACCTGGTGTTAAGTGGTTACTGGAGCCCATAGACATCTACGACGTAAATGCGCCACCCACCTTGACATATCAGTTCTATGGTCTCAAGTATAGTTACAACGGCTGCCCCGCCCCTCAAACCGAAACGCATTACTGCTTCACGGCAGAAATAGGCAAGGTGGTGGTACGTACCCGCGCGGACTCGCAAGAGGTCCTACCACCAGTAATTACGCAAATTATTTGTAATTTTTTATATTTTTTAATAAACAATAATAAATAAATAAGGTTCTAATAGTATTTATTTACCCTTAAAAATGCACCAATGCACTTGTAGTTATTAGGGATAGAAATAAGACAGGAAACATTAATTACCGCTAATTACAGCTCACTCAGTTTGCCATTACCGAATGTTCAACCGAAATTTATACTAATATATAAATCTACAGTGGTTTTTACGGATGTTCCGTTATAACTACTGAACCATGCATCCGATTGACTTGAAACTTGGTATCCATGTAGAAAATACATGTACTCAATGGATAGGCTAATATTTTTATATGAGTGTTGGACTCCCTGATAATAATGACAATAAATAATAATGTTAATTTTAAATGTCCAGCAAAGCGGGCGAGTACGGCTAGTAAGCAATAATATCGCGGTAGGCGTAGTAGTACCTCGAGTTCGTCCTTCAGGTTTCCCTCTCGCATGTGGTAGTTCCGTACGTTATCGATCACCTCCGGAGGGAACTTTTCGGGGTTCGCACTCATGTATCGATACACGAAAAGATCGCAGCCGATTATCTTGAAACGGTGCTTAAAAACTGGTACTATAGCACCTGGATGAAAGAGATATTGTATCATATGAATACGTAGAGTGGAGTGAAAGGATATTTGGTTTAAGCGAAATTTCGCTTAATACGCGACGTTTATCTTATACCTTTAAACGAGCAATTCTTGTATATATATAATCTGAATCTCGGAAACGGCTCCAACGATTTTCATAAAATTTAGTATACAGGGAATTTCGGGGGCGATAAATCGATCTAGCTACGATTTATTGTCAGAAAATGTTGTTTTATTCGTGTTTTCAATAATCAACTTTATCGATAATCAACTTATGACTCTTCCCGACATCTATTGGCGAATAATAATACTATTTTTACTGCTTTAAAGACACAACAAGATGGCGTAATAAAAAAAAAGCCGAGCCAAGCTCGGTCATCATCTAGTCTTTGTAATTAGAGGTGTGTTTTATTTGGTATTAGCATCAACAGTTCGATGTTCTTAATAGAAACTCAATTAAGTTTACCCCATTCTAATTGCTAAAGAAGTTTATTTATTTATTTTTTATTGCTTAGGTGGATGGACGAGCTAACAGCCCACCTGGTGTTAAGTGGTTACTGGAGCCCATAGACATCTACAACGTAAATGCGCCACCCACCTCGAGATATAAGTTCTAAGATCTCAGTATAGTTACAACGGCTACCCCCCCCTTCGAACCGAAACGCATTACTGCTTCACGGCGGAAATAGGCGGGGTGGTGGTACCTACCCGTGCGGACTCCCAAGAGGTCCTACCACCAGTGATTACGCAAATTATAATTTTGCGGGTTTGATTTTTATTACACGATGTTATTCCTTCACCGTGGAAGTCAATCGTGAACATNTGGTACCTACCCGTGCGGACTCCCAAGAGGTCCTACCACCAGTGATTACGCAAATTATAATTTTGCGGGTTTGATTTTTATTACACGATGTTATTCCTTCACCGTGGAAGTCAATCGTGAACATTTGTTGAGTACGTATTTCATTAGAAAAATTGGTACCCGCCTACGGGATTCGAACACCGGTGCATCGCTACATACGAATGCACCGGACGTCTTATCCTTTAGGCCACAACGACTTCAAGTTTTTTTGTTACGATTATTTTTCTAAATTATAAACTTTAAATGGCTATCTTGTAATGTAAAAAATGTTGCTTAAACGAAATAGCCTTTCACCTTTCGATCTGCACATCTATTGTTGAATAATTGACACAGAGTTTGTTTACAATTATCTATTCAAGAACGAGAACTAACATGAAATGCTATATTCGTTATCAAAACATAAATTATGGGGCTTACGAAAAGAAATTTGAGTAAACAACGTCACCTATATAAAACCTCTCCGGTGTGAAGTAGCTCGGAAAATTGGGATCAGATTCAGGCGTTTCCAACCGCATGGGTCTAAGGAATTTTCCCTCCCATATACCGGAATTTCGACGCGGTATCTCGCCTATTTTAACAGTTCCATCCGCAAGGCTGTAGGATAGCACGAATTTGCGTCCTTGATCTTCTGGGTGGATCCAGTCTATCTCGCACAGATAACGCAGATACTGTACAAGACAAATAGTTTTTTTAAGCATTTTTTTGTGTCTCGAACAAGCCCTTATTTAATGAAATCTCTCGTTTGTTATTATCCAAAACTTTATAATAGAGGCAGAATGCTTCAGGCGTTTCATTAGTATGCCGCAAACTATCTAGTCTGGAAATACAATAAACTTTTTCGACTTTTTTTTAAACTTTTTCTTCGTTTTTTTTTTATTGCCCTTGTAGACATACGAACATACGGCCCACCTAATGGTGAGTGGTTACCGTCGCTCATGGACTTCAGCAATGCCAGGGGCAGAGCCAAGCCGTTGCCTACCGCTAAATACTCTCCACAAGCCTCGTTTGAAGAAGGACGGAGCTCATTCCATAGCCGGATGGTACGTGGCAAAAAAGACCTCTAGAAACGCACTGTGGATGACCGCAGTGGCTCCAGGTAGTATGGATGAACTCTACTCCGGTCTTACTTAGTCTGGAAATACAATAATCTTGATCCGCACAAAAAGTAAAAAGCAATATAAGCTAAAATTTTATATGACTTCCAGGTATGTCATTTGAACACAGGATATTTGAAAAAAAATTCAACTGGTCCCAAAAAACTTTATATAGGTAGATGTGATAGTTGAGTGCTGGATAAAATTGAAATAGTTTCGGATTCCTCTATAAAGTATTCGAAAGATGAATTCTGAGCGGAAACTTTAGAAGCGGGAATCCGCGGGACACAATAAAATTTCAAAGAAAAGTCAATAAAACATCTTAAAGATTCAGGAGGGTGTAGTGTCGCTCCGCGAATGAAATATTAGTTTTAGACAATATCCTGTTTTGAAGTTCTATCAAAGATTTATTCTACGAGTATTAAAGATACATTTATGTCACTTGGAAATTGTGATGCGTTTTTCAAACCTACGATCTTATTTCCAAACTCTGTAACAATAATCTCCGAATAAAATTCTTATAATACGCACACAGAGAGCACACGGAAGGGTAAAAATTTGCGACAATTTTATTACGGACCTATGAATTTGGAATTATCTCTTGTTATTCAATCTCGTACCTTGTTGGCGTTAAGGTTGTATTTGATGACATCTTTATGTGGTGGTTTCGGCGTCAATCCAAAACACGACTGTAGGGTGTCTTCGGGAGTGCCGATACCAATGTGTGGCGGTAGCGACTGCACAACAAGCATAAATAAGCACCAAAGATATTTATGCGTTTCAAATAAACGATATTTTTAAGGGCAGAACAATCAATAGTAATAATGTTGTAGAGTCAACTTATGCCTATAGGCTTAATGATAGTAAAACGATACGAACCTTTGCAAATTCTTTTTTGGTTTCTTGTCGAACTTCAACTCGAGCCGGCTGGTCTATATTCAGCATCGATCTTAAAGAAATAATGAAATGAACATCCGCTACCATCACACTTAATAAATTGTTTTCACTGTTACTTGGTTAGGTTTTTTAGGAAAATAATACATTTAGGAATGTGATGCGGCTACCTACCTATGTATGTACCTACGAGTATATACCCTTTTTCTTTGACGCAAAATGAACACTCACTCATTATTTGCGATGGTATATTTTAGTACAGGGTGGCCCATAAGTCCTTTGATATGAAAAAATTTTTATTAAAATAAAACTAATTACATTATGAATTAAATTTTTATTTACATAAAAAGCTTAAAAAACGGGAATTATTTTTTGAAAATAACATCTCCTAAATGTAATCCGTTGCGATCACGGCACTCTTGCAAACGACGTCTAAAATTGTCGATGACTGCGCGACACGTCACTGCTGAAATGCTTGTCATTTCTCTGCGGATGTTTTCTTTTAGGGCCTCAATTGACCGCGGGTTTGTGTCGTATACTTTAGCCTTAAGGTAGCCCCACAAAAAAAAATCCATCGGGGTCAGATCTGGACTACGTGGAGGCCAGGAAATGTCTCCTCTCTTAGAGATAACTTTGCCAGGAAAAAGTTGACGGATAACGGGCATAGCAGTGTTAGAGGTGTGAGAAGTGGCCCCATCCTGTTGAAACCACGTCCTGGCATTAAAGCCTGAAAAGTTTTGCAATTCTGGTATGAAAAACTCTTCGATCATAGCCACATATCGCTCCGACGTAACAGTAACTGCGCGCCCTCTGCCATCCTCAAAGAAGTAAGGCCCTAGGATACCATGGGCTGACATAGCGGCCCAAACAGTCACTTTCGGACTATGTAAGGGCTTCTGATGCTTAAGTTTTGGATTGATGGGGCTCCAATAGCGGCAATTTTGTTTACTAACATGCCCGTTAAGATGGAAATGAGCCTCGTCAGAGAACATTATGTTATTGAAGGAAGTAAACCGATTCAACATTTCATTCGCATAATTTTGTCTTTGAATACCGTCAGTTTCCTTTAATTCTTGAACCAACTGAATTTTGTAAGGGTGCATATGTAAATCTTTCTTCAAAATCCGTTGTAACGATGTCCTGGATACGTTTAATGCTCTGGCGCGCTTACGAGTTGACTGTGTCGGATTTTCGCGAATAGACTGTGTCACTGTGTCTATGTTTTGTTCCGTACGTGACGTCCTTGGGCGACCCAACCGCGGTTTATCTAACGTCGAACCGGTCTCCTCGAACTTAGCAACCCAGTTCTTAATCGTTTGAAGAGTTGGAGTGTCGTCAAAGTTGTGTAAACCTTTGTGTTCTCGAAATTTACGCCGCGCAACGGTTGCCGAATTGTCGTTTTTATAAAACTCGCGCACACAAAACGCACGGTCCGCTCCGGTAAAATGCTCCATCGCGACTAAATTCCCAGAAACCGAAGTTACTCCCCCCGCTTCCCCTGCACCGCTCACGCGCGCCCTGTTCGTTTTATTCAAATTTTACTTTTCAAAGGACTTATGGGCCACCCTGTATTATTATGCGACTATTTTTTAGTTTGCAGGTTTTCTGATCATCTCTCACAAACGGCTTTTATTCCCTTAAACTCTAAATAGAGCTATACAATAATAGCACGCTCAGTCGGAAAACTGAAACTATTGAAATGTCACGACAATTTTATTCATAAAATTGAAATAAACGCGTATTCTTCCGAAGTAGGCGTCTATTAATCCACTAAAATGGATACCTAAATAAAAATACAAAAAACATCAACACCAATAAACTCCGTTTTATGTTGATTTAGTTTTTTATTGGAAACACTGTTGTCCCAAATGACTGAAAAAAGTCATCGCAACAACTATTTTTATGAATTATCAAACATAGGTACTTCGAATATGACTATAGTGAGAAATTATTTTACTTCGGGAAACTCGGATCTCGGAATGATCGTATTAAATGAGTGACATTTTCATATCCATTAATAGGGAACTTTATTGTTTGTTTAGTGTCAAATGTCAAAACGAATAATGTCATTTTGTATAATATAGAGATGCTACAACCATAACAATTATTACTTAAAACGGGATATTTACCAGTGTATTTATTATACGAAATGAGTTCCCGATATTTTTAAGTAATAATTGTTATGTTCGTGATCATGTTAGTTTAAAATCATAATTATGTTACAACCACCTTCTGTAACTTTGAAAATACTCAGTTTTATTGTCATTAGTAAACAAAACATTATCTCCACTTTAAAACAAAATTAAAATTAACAAAATAAAGCCTATTGGGAAATATTTACAATAATAAAACTCAATACTTGCCTAATTTTATGTCATTGGCGTCCCTCTCATACCTAACTAAATAACCTGCGTGTGAGAGGGATGCAATCGACATAAAGGTTTTCATACTAAGATCGTTAGTATACTTATAGGTACCTAACATTAAAATTTTACCTACTGCGTATTTGGATCGATGTTTTCAATATTTTCCATTTCAAAATCTGAGTAATAGACAGAAACATCATTGTCAGATTTGTCAGTACTTTCATTGACGTTAATAGCAATCCTTTGCTATTGCTATCAATTGCTATTTTTGAATTTGTTATTTCCGATATAACGTACAGGTAAATATTAAATATAATTCCTTGACTGGATTTTTTAACCGTTTTCGAGGTTTCGGAATGGCTGTACATTATACGAGTACAACCTTTTTATAAGTAATCTGAAAAGATGACTAAAGCTATAACGAATATTTGAATTGCGTACTATCCACTCTATATATATATATATTGGTCTGCTGATGCGACTTACTCCTACGGCTCTAAGATGGGTATGTACTGAAGCTATTTGAGAGAGCACGATAAATACGAAGTTTTCCGAAAAATTACGAAGGAAAATCATTTCTCACTATATCTATAAATATATTAAACCTACGTAATGTAAATGATGAAGATACAGAACCTCTCGGTTTGAGTGGATACATAGATAAATAACATGATAAAAGTATGTACAATGTTATTTTATCAATTATCCAATCATAGGTAAAAAGTAAATTACCTGAAAATAACCCTAAAGGAATAATTAGAACTAACTTTATAAGAACACGAGCTCTAAAGAGGTTACAAACACAGCTAATAATTTAAAAATTGTTATACAATAACAACTTCTACATGATAATCACTTTATGTGCGTGCCTTTACTCGCTAATCACCTTAATCGCAGAACCAATTTGTGAATAATTAACAATAATGTATTGACATAAGCTTGGACTAACCTTTCATATTTGTTTCTTTTAAATCGCTTGATATGAATCAAGCGGGTGTATGAGCCTCAATGAAGTTTAAGTACAAAATAGCACTGGATAAATTGAAAGTTTATTTAATATCTTAGACAGATATTAAATAAACGTTTGCTTTTATTTTGTAATCCTTATACGTAGTATGTTTTTATTGGGTGTCTCAAAATAGCGAAAAAATGATAATTTTCATTTTTAGTTTGATTTAAAAAAGAAAACAATAAGGTGGGCTAAGACAGCGATCACTTATAGATCATCTAAGGAAAAATATTTGCTGTAGTCTCATTTTTCAAACCGTAATCAGGAGTGTGTTTATAAACAAAACGCAACCTGCTCGCGTTTCCGCCTAACACAGCGCACAATATGCTTGCTCCGGGTGATCTCTCGTAGATACTATTTTTTATTTTTATTTTATTTTATTTGGAAGATAAACAGTTCACTTAAACAACGCACCAGTTGCTCCAACGTCAAGATTGTATTGTTGTGTTTAGAATATATGAACACAAACATCGGCTCATTAATGTTGTTCAATTAATCTCGACTGTGACAGGCGCTAATTCGAGCCGTGTGATTTTGTCACATATTAATTTGAGTTGAATTTGAGCCAGAAACGGAAACCCAAATTGACAACAGGATGGACGAATGAATGAATGAAGATCATCTGCCCTAAAGAAACGTTTCTGATTGAGCCCCGATTAATGAAAAATGTTATATCTATTTATATCCAAATACATCCGAAATTTTGATCTTCCTAGATATAAGCAGATATAGGATGTATACGGGTATATATGTACTATATTGAAATATATTGAATTCTCCAATAACAAACTTTCGAAACTCAAAAGTTTTTCCTTAAATTTCCATAAGAGTTTTTGGAATATGAATATGAATAATAATTCATAAAAGTATCATGTTAAATGAAGTAGAAAGTTTTCTATAGTGTAGTTCGTCTTTTAGGTCAGATTTTTTGTATTACGTAACAAAGTTTCAAGTCTGTTTAAACGCTCGCGTCTCTATTGAAATATTTTCACATAAGAGGCAGGAAAATATTTTACCAACATAGCAGAAATCGGACGCAGTTTTTTTTTTCTTGAAACAAATATACAATAGGTCAACGTGGTTTCGTTAAAAAATGGCGGAATTACTATGAAAATTTTGCTTCAAGTTAACGAAGCGATAATAGACTAAATCAGGTAAACATATAAACCACACACTATCAACATGAATAATTTTCATTAGCTTCTACTTTATGAACACGCAATGCATGAGAATTTTTGAGAACATACCAATGACACCTTATTCTACCGATGAAAAAATATTTTAAATAAATATTTTGTCTCAGTACATATTAATTAAATGTTTATGTATGTATACATTCATAAATATTAAATTCCATATTCCATTCCATTCCATATCCATCCAATTCTCTTGCTAGGGCTTTTTTTTTTGGTTAGGAGGAAATCGCCGGACTTCCGCCCTCCACTGGGGATGGAGGGCGGGGCATGTCGGAGTTGAACCGACAAAAACCTCCTGTCGCTCAACAACCAGCATCCAAACTTCGCATGAGTCAGAACTCATGAAAAGGCAAAGGAGGGAAAGTGAAGCGTTTAGTGCGGAGCACATCTCTTCCATCACCCTCCCCCTCGGGACGCCGGACTGGCGGTCGTCGGCGCCACGACCACCAGTCCTCTCGGTCGGCAGGCTATCCGAAGCCCGCCTAGATGGCACCGGTTAGAATGGTCTATCCTACGGAATACCCCGCTGGGTCCGAACCAGCGTGGGTCAAGGATAGCCGGCCTTCCATCACCCGGATGCTCTTGCATAAAACGCGTGCAGAGCAGCTAGGGCTAGTGTTAGCAATATACTCGGTTACGCTGGCATAGCCTCTAAAGGCTACCAGCGTAGATAGGGATACAAAAAAATGTATATGTCTCATCCAAACTCGACAAACGAAGCGAAAGCTTGCCACCTAATGAATGCGAGCCGTAACTACTCGTTAAACCTCGCCTCACTTCTGGGGGTGGACTTGGGCCAAGGCGAGGTGCTATCGCTCGAATAGAACCTAAACATATTCGTTGCCTGCATAATTACACTTCCTCTGTCATTATCAAATCAAGTTATAATGATAATATTAGTCTAAGTAATATTTCAGAGATTGGGAGTACTTCTTCTCCACCTTCTCCTTTGAAATCAAGGTTTGAAATGTTGCCTGGTTTAGAAGGAGTGAAGACGTCTCGGTACTGTCATCATTTCATGCTGCGAAATCTCTTTGCACGATTACCCACCATACGCCCACTATGTCATTATGATAATGAAGATATTTTTTCATTCATTCTCTTTAAAATTCATTCTCCATCCATTATCTTTAAAATGTGCGCAAAACTAGGCAGTTAAATAAAAAACCCGATAATCTTGTTACATATAAATCTCAATCAGGAAACTATTCAGCGCTTCAACGTTCGACCTAGATAGAACGTACTTTTTATGAAGAAAAAAAAAACTAATTTTTCGCTCCGGTATTCATTGTCCTTGAACATTTTTCATTTGAGTTTTAAAAAAAATAATCTTACTTGTAATAATTTCTAGTGAAGTTATCGCAGTCGCAAAGTAAGAATTTGCGTCCGAGTACGAACACAGTCTGTCCCACGATGAGATCCCTCGGTGCGTAATACTCAGTCACCTCTTCTTCACTCGTTTCCAAAACAGTTGACGGAAACGATACTGTGAATAGATAGATATATGAATTAAGTTATTGAAACACGATACCTGTGATACTACATGTACCTAGTGCGTGTTTTTTTGAACACGATACCTGTGATACTGCATGTGAATACCTAGTGCGTATTTTTTTTGGGGTTCGTAGGTAGACGAAGATACAGTCCACCCGGCTCAATGTCAGGGGTATAGCAAAACAGATGTCCTCTAATAATCCGCTTGGTAACACTGTTAATGATTTTCATAGCAGTAAACGGAAAGGTTATTGAATTGTCTACCTTAAATGGTTGGCAAAGCTTATAAACTGTATAATCTGAAAACAGTCCTCTAATAGACACTATTGATTTTCACCGATGCGAGCTTACAGTACACGCTACCATTAGTATATGCCCATTGGTGATCGCAGTACGCTGGTAAATACCCAGAGAACGCTACTGCCCATTCTCCAGTAAATCCCTTATTCATACTTTACGACACCCACGAGATGAGATGGGGTGGGCCTATCCCAAGCCACACACCACACACCTCACGGACGTATAAATAGTATCTACAGTAAATTTAATAAAGCACGATCCTCTCGAGGAATGTTTTAAATCCAATAGAATCGGGCTTAATTAAATATCAAGATCTTTCACAAGAATTGTAAACAAGAACAAAGGGGCCGCGGAAGGAACGTTTTCATCAATTGCAATAATTCATAAGCTCCTTAGTTAAGAAGTTGGAAGTCGGAACGGCTAACAACTCAAACTTTATGAGCTTAATCTCTTTAAAAGCGGCCTATTAATGAAACGTATACCTTATTTGTCATTACGCGGAAAATGTTTAAGCGCAAAAACCGAATCTATATAGTTAAATATTTATGTATTACGTAAAATTTAAATAAAATAAAAATACATATACATATATATATATTATCTGAGGCTAACCCGGCATCTCCTTTTGTCTTAAAACAACTTGACAGCAGTTTTTGGTGAATTAATGGTGTTGAAGTCCTTAATGCCTGTTCAGATATCACTCTCACCACGTACGATGAGGCTTTTTTTTNCCGAATCTATATAGTTAAATATTTATGTATTACGTAAAATTTAAATAAAATAAAAATACATATACATATATATATATTATCTGAGGCTAACCCGGCATCTCCTTTTGTCTTAAAACAACTTGACAGCAGTTTTTGGTGAATTAATGGTGTTGAAGTCCTTAATGCCTGTTCAGATATCACTCTCACCACGTACGATGAGGCTTTTTTTTTGATCAGGAGGAAATCGCCGGATTTCCCCCCTCCACTGGAGATGGTGGGCGGAGCATGTCGGAGTCGAGCCGACTAAAACCTCCTGTCGCTCAACAACCAACGTCCAAACCTCGCATGAGACAGAACTCATGAAAAGGCAAAGGGGGAAAGTGAAGCGTTTAGTGCAGAGCACATCTCTCCCATCATAACCCCCCCCCCCCCTGGGGACGTACAATCAGACTATGAAACGAAATCCCCTCCAGCGTGTTTCCTAGCGTCTAACGCCGGCTTCTTCAAAAATATTTTGTAAATAGTCTTTCTCGGTCTTCCGTTCTGCCGTAGCATGTATATGAGTGGCGGCTAGTGCTTAGGATCATGTGGGCCATAGACTCAACTGCCTTTCTTGGCAGTAATAAAACAAAAGGGTTGAATAGTTAAAAACTCCGAAACATACATAAATATGTACACAATAAAATAAACCGGTAAATGGATTTGTACCATTCACTCTATCTCACACACCTTACCGGTGGTAGGGCGTGTTATGAGCCACCACCCTGCCTATTTCTGCCGTGAAGCAGTAATGCGTTTCGGTTTGAGGTGTGGGGGGCAGCTGTTGTACTATAAAACTGGAATTTAGAACTCATTTCTCAAATTGGATGTTACGGTATTTAAGTTGTTGATGTCTATGGGCTCCGGTAACCACTTAACACCAGGTGAGCCGTGATCTCGTCCACCCGTGGAAGCAACAAAAGAAAAATATAGTTATTTATGAAATATTATATCAAATAATGAAGAAATAGCATATTTCGTGATTTAAATTTATGGAGATAATTTGCTGAGCGCACCCGGCAAAGTTAATTCTGGCAGGGTAGAACATTAGAATGCTATTTGGAGAGTTAAAAATGCGGAAACGAACTGTTTTCTGAAAGCTATAAAGAGGATTTCACTGTTCATTAAAAATGAATGAGCCATCAAAACCTTTACGAAACGGTCTGTGCTCAAGAGGTGCGTCTGGTCAGCCGTCGGCCGTCGATTAAAATAATAATTATAACGTTTTAAGTTTTATAAGTTCATTTATAAAACACAGGTATCGCACGCTCGTATCGAATTATAAATCTCTGCTTGAGTCAGGCACAAATGAGTCGTCTATTATCAAAGGTGGCAATCTGTGCATTTGGACAAAAAAATGTTATTGATATGTCAATACAGATTGATTTGAATATAATCGTCTCCTTCAAAGAATACGGTTCAAAACCTGCATTAAATAAAGGTTAATACTTAACCTGTTATTTATCTAAGATGTCGTTCAGAAGAGTTTTGTGACTGCCAATGGNTGATTTGAATATAATCGTCTCCTTCAAAGAATACGGTTCAAAACCTGCATTAAATAAAGGTTAATACTTAACCTGTTATTTATCTAAGATGTCGTTCAGAAGAGTTTTGTGACTGCCAATGGAATACAAAGTCAATAATTCGTTTTTCTGATTTACCAATAATTGTCCAAAAGTCACATTGCCGGCTTTGATAATAGTCGACTCAAATCATGTATTCTAAACTAAAAAAAAAGACCCACGCATCTAACACATGTTCACGAGCGAAAAAACAAAACCGTGTCAATAAAAATTAAACCTAGTAATTCATATAGTTATACTAAAGCTCCAGTGGTAGGTCTTATAGTGGTCGTAGTAAATGTATGTGTACCGGCATAAATACTTATTTCTATTTAAAAACATTTGCACGTTCCAGTTTAGAAAGCCGACCAGAAAATAGTATTTTTTTTATTATGAATAGTTTTAATCAGAATAATAATGAACGTATGATTTAAATAACCATAAGGAATCGACCCCTTCATGCGCATTGAGACGTTATGGGAAGAAATGTTCAATATTTCCGCCGACAGCAAGGCATACATCATTTCCACATTTATTTTTTATCGGCATTTTCACACGAGCTCTAACAAGCGCCATCGTAAGACCATTAAAGGTTTTTTGTAATAACTCCCCCTTGCGTGATGCTAGAATCTCACGAGATATTATGCGTTATTAACCAACATTCCCGCTGGCGTAGCTTCATTTAAACGTTACCAAATAAATTGACGTAGACCATTTTTAATATCAAACGATGATCGAGCACACAAAACCGTTCTGTAATCAAACTTAAAAGTTTCGACTTTTATAGACTTTGAAATAATCTCACCGGGTTTTTCTTTCCACTTTTTAGGCAGTTTTGTTTTCTTAAGCAATAACGGAAATGGATCTTTCCCGCCCTTCTCGTCGTGGAGCTCCTGCAAAGTAAAACGCAGTTATTAAGGCATACTTATTTACTATCGGGACGAACCACTAGCTACGCGATATGGGCGCAAAGGAATTTTTATTGAGCTTAGTAATTGGAGTGCGCCCTCTTCCCGGAGCCGAATAATAAATATTCATTGCTCTGCTTTTCCAAGGACGCCTTGTATCGAAAATCAAAGCCCGAAATGCGATAAGTAATTAATATCACAAATATTCCTTCGACGTAGTTAGTGGAAACGATTAAAATTAAAAAAGCGTGAAATATAATTGTTATGTCGACGGTATAAAATAAAGAGGTCGACGTCATTAAGTGGGAATTACGAACGAATGAGCGAGAGAATTACTCGTGAATCGGAAAGCACTCCACTAACGAAAGGCTTTTGTGTGTTCGTTTTTATATACGGAGATACGTCTGAGAATTCAAAGGGAAAATCAAATATCGCTTGACTTGGTAACGACTTACTAAGAAAAGATAAAGGTCCTGCTTGCCATTCGCCGGCTCATTTTTATTACAATTGTTTTATTGAAATAAGAACAAATGCACCTTAACGAGCATGAAGATTTTAATAAAATACATGAAAATACAAGAATGTGTGATTAATTTGACAAAATAATTGCCGTTAAATAAATCATAGATTAACTTAACGTTCTCTGTAAACCATACTGAGTGTTATCGATATCTGAGCTAGTTTTCCGATAAAACGAATTGCACCAGTTTCCAATATACAAAAACAAACAAAAAAAAACTCGCCTTTACAGCAATGGTGTCGTCTTGGAGAAAATACAAAAGTTTGTATTCACGCAGTTCCCCGTTTTCAGAATCACGATCGTCCCACACAACGTTGAACCTGAATAAGACATTAGAGACTTTATTAAAATTGTTGCTGCACGGTTTCCTTTTTCCGGTTGCAAAAACTATTTCGCGTTACGTAAGACAAGTCATTAGATTCTCCAGGAACTTGGAACAAAGAGAAAGCAGTTTATGTTGAGATTATCGCATTATTTGAAGATGTTATTTGAAGATGTTCTTTTTCATTTGTTTTAGCTGTGCGGTGGCAGAACATGTTGCTAACCACGACGTGTCCATTTCTACTGTATAATATATCATCATGTCTAATTTCACGGATAGGATAATCGTAAATCTAATTAACTAGATTATCTGCCCATCAATGATAATAAAAATTAAAAGACGAATTAACGAAACGCAAAATAGCATTCATTAGTACAAACTGCTTATGATACAAAATACAAATCATTAATTTATCGTAGCGTTATAGCTTGAAATAAGCCGCATTGTATATTCAGGTGAACTCACTGTTCGTGATACCGTGAAGCTATTTTTCAAGCTATCTCGGGAATGAATCATTTCGGAAACACAAAAGTAGGCTATATGCTAATGAGGTACGTGTACAAAAATAAGTGTTGTGGTTCAATGTGGACAAACAAGAAGATACTTATTATTTCGAAACAATTTTTGATGACTATTTTCTTTTTAGGAGATTGACACTAAGCGGCTATACCTGGTATGTTTATTAACATACCTAATATTTAGTAGATAATGCAAGTCTATAGTTATCGCAACTTGAACGCCGTGACCTTCGTAATACATGAGACAGCCTTTAGCCGAAACAACTGATGGTAGCTATCCAGAAAAACAGGCTCAGACCAGCTTCCTATTTATTACACGATATTATTCATTCACCGTTGAAGTTATTCGTGACAGCTTATTAGATACATATTAACTTATTTTATAAGAAAAATTGGAACCTATTTGTGGAATTTTAAGCCTGGCGTAGCCGCATCACTCGATATGAGTTTACTGGTCATCTTTTGTCAAATCACGGACGTTTTAAGGACGTTAAGCAGAAAACTTGATTTAAAATCGGAGCCGAGCCTATTGTCACCCATCCGTTTGAGAACCTTCTATACAATACTAGTAGTAGGACCTCTTGTGAGTCCGCGCGGGTAGATACCACCACCCTGCCTATTTCTGCCGTGAAGCAGTAATGCGTTTCGGTTTGAAGGGTGGGGCAGACGTTGTAACTATACTTGAGACCTTAGAACTTATATCTCAAGGTGAGTGGCGCATTGACGTTGTAGATGTCTATGGGCTCCAGTAGCCACTTAACACCAGGTGGGCTGTGAGCTCATCCACCCACCCAAGCAATAAAACAAAAAAAACAAAATACACACTTCTCAAAGTACAGACAAGTGTAGAAAGTAATTTTTAAGACGGCATAAATACTCCATGGACCATGCATCGCAGAATTGTTGGTAAGTCAAGAACTTCATAGCTTAACCATATTTGAAACTTCTTAAGCATTTTTCTGAAAACTGGTTTTCAAAATCTTCTCACATCTTAGTTATAAGGTAGACTTAGGACGTGTAAGCGCAAGAAATGATTTAAAAGCATCTAACAAAACTCTAAGTATTTTTTTTGTAAGGAAAAAATACAAATAAATCATGATTTTTTTTCCGCAGTCTGCCAAAAACTTCATCATTTACTGAGGTCAACAACAAAAGAGCTTTGAATAAACACAGAAAAAGCCTACGAATCGACTATGGCGAGCGCTGATAAGAACAGCGAATAAAAAATTGAAGAAAACGTTCCACCGGGGTTTTATTTCGAGGAAATTCGCTGATTTATTAACAGACCTCGAGTAACTCTGGTTCGAGTTTATTATAACCACAGATAAGAAACATTAAAAAATAAGTAAGTATAAAATATCTTTAGATATTTTTTTATGGGCACTGTCAAAAGAATTGAATTTATAAAGAACGTTACGATGGTTTCGTATTTTTTATTGGTTTATTTGAATGTAAATTAAAAAAAATGGCTGCCATTTCGTTTAATAAGCGTTCTCTATTTTTTTAAATGTTCGAACCGTTTGTTGTCGTTTTCTTTATAAATACTTTAATAAAAGCATTAACATTATTGCATGTGTTACATATCTTGGGATTGTTTCTTTAATGCGATTAGGTAAATACCTAAACGATATTAAGTTTCATGAATTTTATTATGTTCTGTTAAATTTCTAATCTTCAGTACATATGTATATATAGATATAGAATAAAGGCAAAAGCAAAACTGACGCACTGCGATCAAATTGCAGTGATCTTGGGACAAATCCAAGTTACATTATTTTAATATCATGCAGTATTTATTCATGTATTATTGTAAAACTAGCATTTATAATATATAATAGCATTTATTTAATAGATATGTTTGAATGTTCATTGAAAAACAGTCCTATTAAAAACCAAACAACATGGTTAAAAAGTTTATAACTATGTTCCGTACTCATTGCCATAGTTTTTTTTTTTTTAAATAACATTATTTTAAGTTAATAAAATTACGTTTGGTGATTTACTTTGCAGCTTAACACATCAATCAATAGCACTTGCAAATTATATGGTAAAGATGAAAAAAATACTGTACTCTTATTATTTCAATTACAACGGATGGCTATTCAAAGACCTCACGAAATTCGTTTAATATCGTAACCAAAATGCCACGATTGAGATTCATTTTGTGAACTACGTTTTTTGTTTTGTTATTGACCTTTTTTCTTGTAAAGATAAAAAGAAAAAACTAATTGTTTCCAATATTTTTATTGACAACACCAATCCACGTCAAAAGTTTTGCCCTTACTTTTATCTACGTTACTACTGCAGCGGCATCCCTAGGCACCGACTGCTTATCGCTAGCGGCTGCGGCTAAATACAAACACCACAAAGATGCTAGTTGATAAGGATAAAGTAAAATTTACGAATTGCAGAAGCATGAAAATAACGAAGAAAATAATGAAAACGAAAAAAGCCAAAAAAATTACGGATTTTTAAATTAGCTATGTAAGATTTTTTCCGACTGAAATTCATATTATATATTATTAATACTTTTTAATATATACATACACATATTTATTCACTGCATATTTACTGTATCATTTATTTAACCTCTGTGAGTGACAATGATCTCCGTACCTTCTGTACCTCCATAAGCTAGAAACTCGGGCTAGTGAGGAACCTCTATAATCGAGAAAGATATTGAGGTCCGCTAATGGTGTCAATTGAATTGGAATAGCTATTTTAACGGTAACTCATTATTGCTTCACAATAAAACTACCCGTATTGGTAACACTGGCTAGACGGGCTCACACCACGACTTACCACCAATATCGTATTTAGGAATCGGGGAAGGAGAGAAATAAGATGAGAATACCACTGCGGACGATTGAGGCGTACCTTCATCTCGGTCCGACTAAAAGTTGTACAGACAGACAATTCCCATTCAAAATCCTCTGGCCCGAATTTCATCAAGCTCTTGTGTGCCTTTCCATGATATTTACGACGTTAAAATAAAATCCGCACAATAATGCAGCGCGCGTTCTTGTTTATAGGTCATAAAATACAGCCAAGCGCCGACCAGTAGGTTCTACCCTCGCCTCGCGTCATAAATGATTCGTGCTGTGAATTCTTCAGGAAATCGTTAAAAATATAATTTTCGATTTCTCGCCTCCGAATTCGTAGGTATCGAATTAATAAACTATTTACAAATGTATTTTATAAACACCTGTTATTTCTATGCAGTTTTATTTGATCAAAACGAAAGAATCTTAAAATAATGATTAATTTCATTTATTAACCTTCTTACGCATATAGTTCTGATTATTACTATTTAAGGGACTGGCATATATTTTCTTTTCCTTAATTTCTACGAAGGTTCCTATGCAATTAACCTTTAACCTAATAATATCAATTTTTTTACAACCTTCTTATTCTGCGTAAGTATATTTTAATTTAACTTATAGTTAATATAAATTATTTATTCTTCAGACGAGGGTTAAGATTGTTTTGATTTGCATAGACGTTCCCAGATTTCACTTTTCACTGATCCCCGACCGTGGCATTTCTTCTCCGTAATGCAACACCGTGATGTAACCGATTTACCAGCGTCGTCCCACCGTTTAAACATTCGTGTTCTCGATAGTGTATTAGTACCAGTAGGATACTATTTTTTTATTTTTTTTTATTGCTTAGATGGATGGACGAGCTCACAGCCCACCTGGTGTTAAGTGGTTACTGGAGCCCATAGTCATCTACAACATAAATGCGCCACCCACCTCGAGATATAAGTTCTAAGGTCTCAGTATAGATACTAATTTAGATCGTTTATTATTACTAATTTATAAATTTATATTTGACTAGCGACCCGCCCTCGCTTCGCTTCGGAAACATTAAAACACACATGAAACCAAAAAAATAAATTAAAATAAATAAATAAAAGTAGCCTATGTTCATCAGAGACAATGTAAGCTTCTAATGGAAAAAAATTTTTTTAAAATCGGTCCAGTAGTTTCGGAGCCTATTCGAAACAAACAAACAAACAAATCTTTCCTCTTTATAATATTATTATTATTATTATTATATTATTATAGTATTATAGTATAGATATAGATCAAGAATTAAGTTATTTGACAGAGAACTAAAGTAGCGTCATAGTTCCGACAGTCGTCACGCTGAAGTGGCTGTGGGCTGGACATATATTCCGTAGAACCGAAGATCGGTACAGGAGACAGGTTTTTGAGTGGAGACCGCAAATGGCAAACGTAATAGGGCGTCTTTTATTATTGCTTAGAAAGGTGGACGACCTTACAGGCCAACTGGTGTTAAGTGGTTGCCGGAGCCCATAGACATCTACAGCGTAAATGCCGCCACCCACCTTGAGATATAAGTTCTAAGATCTCAGTATAGTTACAACGGCTGCCCCGCCCCTCAAATCGAAACGCATTACTGCTTCACGGCAGAAATAGGCAGGGTGGTGGTACCTACCCGTGCGGAGTCACAAGAGGTCCTACCACCAGTAAAGAGGTAATGAATAAAGGAGGTAAATGAGTAAATGAGGATGATGAAATTTATATTTCGGTTTATACTACACCTATTTTATGATATGATACATATGTATTACATTATTTCAGTAGTAAGGGACTATGCGTAGAAGTTTTAGCACCCATTTACGCGTAAAATTTTCGAGACTGGCTTCGACCTTTTTCAGTTCTGTGAAGGTTCTTGATTCGGGGCCTTTATTAAGTATTACTGCAATAAATCGTAATAAAGATCACTATCGTCGAGTCCGAACACCAGATGTAGACTGGTCACGTCACCGTTGTAAATTATGTTCAAGGACAAATTTAGTACTAGCTAGGATCTTGGGGATAATCCGTTATGGTAACTTCAATAAAGGTTTGAATTTTTTTACAATTGCTTACTATCAATAATTCTTCGTTACCAAAAATAATTATCAAATTGATTTTTAAGTAAGACGTCACGACAAATTGAAGAAACAAACAATTATTCCACAAAAGCGTATGTACATCTTGAGATACGAGCATCAACAAATTAAAGCACAATTAAGGCAAAATTTACTAGCGCAAAACTAATTAGCGTACCCCAAACAATGTTGCCTATTTGTGTCTCAAATAAATTCAAAGAAAGCTCATTAAAATCACAATGGAACATCCATTGTAATGAGTAGGTATTAAGGCCCGGAACTAGCTCCGAGGCGAGAGAAGATTGTGTAATTAAAGCTAACAATTAACATAGAAATAATTCTTGGTGAGCCTGACACCACAGTCACCCCCGGTGCTGGGTCAGTCAATAGCCCCCAATTGTCCTCCGGACTTATTAACTAAGCGCACGAGGAAAACTTGTTTCCTGTAACTTTATTAGTGGAATTGACCTAATTTTATACGACAATGTCTCTCTCCGATAACCAATTAAGTTATTTTAAGAGGCGACAGGAATATTTATTGCACATATTTAATATCAATCTATAGCTCAAATTATTAACAAACATATAAATACTCTACTCTCGAGATGTCAACGGGAGGTGTAGCCGTCAGGTGTAGTGTCACCACTCACGTGGTGATATTCATAAGTTCCGGCAACCACTTAACAGCAGGTGGGCCGTGAGCTCCTTCATCCATCTGAACAACGGCATAATTATTTTTCTCTCAATCTAAAGACTTTCGTGTATAACACTAACTGATCTTCTGAACGACTTATACCCTAAGCGGTCTGTATTGAGAACGAGTATAATATTTTATTTCATATTAAAAAATCTATAATTTCTGCATAAGATTCATATTTGGTTTACGGAAATATGATCATGTATCTGAATTTCGCACTAAACTCAAGTGGTTACCAATTCGCCTTCGCCGCAATACTCATGTCCTTTCATTACTATACTGTACTCTCTTTAACCCCCATGCCCCCATATATCTCAAAGAACGTTTCGAGTTCCTACGTGATACGCATAATTTTTCCCTGAGATCATCGGATAGCCTGAGACTGAAAATGCCGGCGCATTCATCATCATTCTTTGATCATTCATTCACCGTCCAGGCGGTTCGATTGTGGAATGCTCTGCCGGATGCAGTGAGAAGTGCTCAAACTTTAAACTGTTTTAAAAGAATGGTGAAGGAACACTACTTATCTTCTTAGTGCTGTTTGTTTGCATCATCATTTATTATTTCCATACTGTTGATGTATTATGTGTATGTAAGTATATTAGTATGTATTGTATGTAAGTATGTATATTGGTATATAATAATAAGTATATATTTCATATTATATGTAAACGGTATATATTTTGTTTATTGTATGTATATATTTTCTATAATGTATTATCTATAGTACACCGCAAAATACCTGCTATATTTTTTTATATTTTCCAGAATTTCTATAAATTAAACGGTTGTCTGGAAGAGATCGCTTTTAGCGATAAGACCGCCTATTGTACAAATTTATCTGTTTTTTGATTGTTTTTTTGAATGTAAATTGTGTTTTGGTGTGCAATAAAGTGTATTCTCTCTCTCTCTCTCTCTCTCTCTCTCTATAAGCGATAGGCAGCGTCTGCCTACAAGGGCAATAAAAAATAAATAAATAAAAAAACTATTACGAACTATTACTATATTGTAATACGGTACTTGTTATAGAAAACAGTTTTGATAACATAAAAAATACTAAATATACCTTTGCAGGTACACGTAAACCTAGGGGAAAATCAAATTAGCTGTCGCTAACAACACTGGTTTATCTTGTGCTCTCGGTACTCCTATTTACTAGTCTCAACTAAGTCCCGACTAAATTAGTAATTCCAAGTGTGATCTAATTAGCTTCTATGCTGAACTGTAACTAGTTTTGTCTTTTACTATACTACAGAGACACGATGGAGGCGAACTTAGGTTTTTCTTAACTACCGTAGCTCCAACCAGCGAACTCACATTCCACATCGTATTCAGGGGCTTGCAGAACCCATCTTGATACTAGAGAGGGGAATCTCATTTGTTAAGGTTGTCCTATCCGAAACCGGAGCTCATAAATAAAAAAAATACATGATGGGGCTACCGACACGTATGGGACTGTTGCCCCACTTCTAGCACTTAAAACATGAATTATGGAGTTATGTAGGAAAATAGGAAGGATACCGGTACGAGAAACGGATGAAGTTATTGTTATTGTTACTCGAGGAAGCCGTATTTTATGCTTAATAGCCGGGCAGATCTTTAACATTAGAATCCTATGACTAAAATAGAATGAATAAATTTAACTATTCTTCATATTCACATGAAAAATATCTTGCGGATCACAATTTAAAGTGTTATTATTAAGAGTAAATTAGCACCATTATATTTTGTTTCGTTTATTTTTTTTTGCAGTCAGTAGCGCGGGGATATAAGTAAAGTAAAGTGATGAACTTACGCGAGAACTTTTCCATCGTATTCAAGGAACCGTCGGAGCGGATCATCCCGGGGCTTCACTCGCTTTGGAGTCTGCACAGATTTCCACCTTTCCTTCACTGTATAGGGATCAACTGGTAAATCTTCCTCTTTCGACAACTCTACACCTTGAGATTCGAGCCATTCCTATGACATAAAAAATATATCGGTTAGATGACGTCCCATACTGCTACTTATAATGTTTAAGTGATTCCGTTCGAGCTATCATCTGTTTTGGATTTTTCATATTTTACCATATGCCATTTTAGCCATATGGCTGTTAATTATTCCTCAATAAATAATGAAACGCCATTTAAATTCGGAGAACGGTATGGCAGAACTTACTCGTACGGAAACATGCTTCAGAGATTATTTGTTTGTTCTATACGAAACACGTAATTACTCAGGAGGAACATCTTTACCGCGCGACACGTACCTATATAAATATATATGGGCGCAAACGCCACTATTGGCAATAATTAACATAATAATATATAGTTTAGTTTATTCTATGTTATTGTTTATTTATTATTAGCAAGATGGAACTATTATTCTACCATATTTAATAATTAGCAGACACTGTTTCGATCTTAAGATGTTCAGAATATGTTTAATGTTTATATTATTGTTTAAAAACACAAATCACTTATAAATAATTAAATATGAATAAAGCATAAATATTAATAATAATTTATATTATAATTAACAGTAATAATTTAATTAAGTATTGTAATTGTTATTCAATGATGTTGTTGGCGCCATCTATTATTAGGCTGGATTTTATCAATGTTAGTTTAAATTATTAGTTAAAAGTAGGTAATTCATGTGAAATAAATTAATGTCAGTCATGTAAAAATCACTAAAATATTTATTGTGAATATAAAGCTATATTTTGTGAATTGTTTCGCAGTAATTACATTTGTTTGTATAAAAGAAGTTATAGTTACTATAACCATCACAAAAAGGCTAATTGTGTAAAAACTAAGACGTAGCGTTTTTGTAATAAAATAGTAATGTTAAAGTTTTATAGAATTATTAAGTTTTATAGTATTTTGATTGTCAAAGACCTTATGTGTGTAAGCTCTGGCTTAACGCTGACATATACATACTTTACTAATTATACATACGTGTTATCTTTTAAAAGAGTGATATCGTCCTCATTCATTACGTAAAGTTTGTTCCGAAGATGGTGATTTTTCGGTTTAATTACCAGATTAGTATTTCATTAATAGTGAATTTTTTTTTGCTTCATTCACATTTGACTACGACTTGAAAACGATTGTAGTTCTTATCTTAACTATACATACAGTTTTGTATTGTGTTATTTTGACTTCGCAAACATCTGCCTCCGTGGCGCAATTGGCTAGCGCGTTCGGCTGTTAACCGAAAGGTTGGTGGTTCGAGCCCACCCGGGGGCGTTTCGTTTTTATATATTAAATCCTCTAACTAATCTGTAATCCGATAAACAACACATTTCAGTGATATTCCGATTGAATATCCAATTAAAGAAACCTTTGTGCCGTTATAAGCTTAAGAATCGTGATTTGGCCGTTTTTTTGTTAAATTTGGCATGCCAATAATGAGATGCATATTATACTTGAAATATTTGCCGTCCTTTATATGCAGTAACAGAAAAAAGAAACGCGTTAATTGATCGCTTCATTGATCAAGCGGTTAGTGACCCTAACTACGATATCATTCGAATCAGAGTCGGTTTTCGGTTCTAAATATATATATCCTTATTTTGTGTATTTTATTCTGGTAGGTATTACATTACACACGAGAAAATCCCGACTTCGGTAAAATTTATTTATTTAAATGACAAAATTATGTTTAAACAATATTTTCGTAGTACACGTAGTTTAAGTATGTTAGGAGTTTTTACTAAACCCTAAATCAATTATAGTAGAACTGTCATTGGTTTAAAAATTAAGCAAATATAAATTAACAAATGAAATTGGTAACAATAGCTTCAATCGATAATTTGATACATTTTATTAAATTTTATTAAAGTCGCAAGACCTACCTAATGATTGGTTAGCATTGGGTGTTTTAGAATTTTTTTATATATATTTTTTTCATCTAATAATTTGTACATTATCGCAGGTAATTTATTCATTTTAAGTATATTAGTCTATGTTATCTGTAGCTACTAAATTAATGAGTGTACCTACGGCAAATATTGAATACATTTTTATATTATTTGCGCAGTTGTATGAACCGACTAACGACCTGCTTGATGTTTTAGATGAAAATGTAAATAAGATAAGGTATATCTGGCCAAAACTTTAAAAACCGAATAATAAGTAAACTATGTAATACACAAAACATAGTAACGACATATTATCTAATAAATAGCTATCAATATTTGACGTAAGCTAAATAAGCCGTCAAATTAAGTTACAGCCCATAGACTTCAGAGTAAAAGGATGTAAAAAACAAAGCCCTTCTGGGGCAACCGGATGAGAAGATAAGACCAATGAGTTTATTTCGCGATTCTTATCATGACTGCGGCTCCTTACTACAGTACCGGGAGAGTCCATTCTAATAAGATTTACATCCAAAAATGGAATCGAACAGGTAAATGACAGCTGGACCGCAACAACTTGGCTAAGTCATTTTAAGTTTAATGTTTGTACAATGATCCTAATTAAACCATAATCACTGATAATACTGAAGAACAAACAGAGGATAAAACGGTATCAATTTAAGGTTTGTACTTTTTGAAAGAAAAAAAACCGTGTTGTATTGTGCTTTTTACTGATTACAGCAAATCTTGTCTAAAACTACCAAATAAACAGACAAGCGATACACATAGAAGTAAATAGAAGTAAAATGGTACTCAAACAATTCTATTTATTCTCCGATCTAAGTACAATATCTCTAAAAACATTTACGAATTATTAAATATAATTTTTTTCTTCTTTTTTTTCCTATCTATTCTAGTAGCCTCGTGGGGTTATTCTAGATTCGCCGAGCTAGTAGGTAAGCTCACGGGACTGAAACCGAGTGTTCCTAACACTGGCCCTAGCAAAAGCAGTGCTTCGTAAAATCTACCACCGGATCGGAAACGCGACCGACTGATAAGATCCTGCGAGAAAATCAGTGGGCTTAAACACCATATTGATTAATAAGTCTTGTATGTGTTCAAGTCATGAGTACGTTCACGCTTTAAGTAGAAGTAGTTCCATTTTTCCAAGGAGAAATGTGAAAGGTATCATATACCATACGGTATAGGCTTTCGTTTAATATTAATTAACATTTGTATAACATCATAAAATTTCACAGATAAACAGTTCTTAAGCAACCGTTATTACACATTTAAACCCGAAGAAACACATTGACAAAATAAACAAAATAAAAGAATACATGCAACATCGCTCCTCGCGTTCCCGCCAAAAAGTCCTTCACGATTTGAGTTGAAACTAGTAAGTAGTAGGTATGTAGTATTTTGAGGCTAATAATAAGTTCATACCAAAACTGTACATACACAGATTATATAAAAATGTAGGCTAAAGTGGCTGTTTGAACAAAGTCAATGATAAAGGTATTTTAGAACAAACAAAAAAATATGTTTAATATGTAATAATAATATTGGTAAGTATTTTTTTTACGTGATAACGTCTTATAAATCAAGCAAGTGCAAGCAAGAGCGCGGAACATGCGATAAAGAGGCACGATCGACCCAATCGTTATCTTTATCGAAGAAAATGTAATTTTCAATGAACTCCTTTGTACTATACAAAATAATGATAATTCAGTGATAATAATTCAATTCAAATTTGCGTAATTACTAGTGGTAGGACATCTTGTTGGACGCAATAACACAAGCTTGTAAAATATTTAATGAGAAGTTGTTTCTAATATCAATTTATTTTAGAAACAATTTTGCTATTATAAGCTATATAGGCACTTACTTCAAATTTTTAAATTATTACGATAAATCAAATTTATCAACTTAAATTATTGAATAATTTTCAAAACATAACATCGATTACTTACTCTTTTATATTATTTTTATATAATTTATTTACAAAATAATATTACTACATTTGTTTAAGTAGGTTCATACATATAAAGAGCGTAAATCACGCAGCATCATGTTTTCATAATTCAAGTGTATTATGTGAACTTTGAACACACAGTAAAGTGACATGATAATTTTGTTTTTACTTACATCTCACATTTGCTTTGACGCATCTCAAATTGAAAACGAACAAAGGAGGCAATGACTAAAGAACATATCAATAAAATACAGTAGTGTTTAACCTATACTAGTATCAAATTGAATGGCACATACTTTTAGTTCTTTAAATTTTACCCATTCGTATTTTGTTAGTTGAACATACTAGACGTCACGTAGTAAATCCTGTAGTGAACGAGTGCGTTTATAAAATGGTGTCATTAACGTTAAATAATCCTGTCGTGCAAGCATATATCGTGCATTCTGCGATATTAGCCCTCAAGTTATTATCACTAACAGTTCTTACAGCACTAGCACGTATGACACGAAGAATATTTGCTAATCCAGAGGATGCGAAAATGCTCAGAGGAGGAAAGGTCAAGTACGATGACCCTGTCGTTGAGAGAATTCGCCGAGCCCACTTGAACGATTTGGAGAATATTCCGGCATTTTGGATACTCGGAGCGTTTTATGTGACTACTGGACCGGCAGCAACATTCGCAACGCTTCTTTTCCGATTGTTTACCGTGTTCCGTATTCTGCACACCATCGTTTACGCTGTTATCCCATTACCTCAGCCTTCAAGAGCTATAGCTTTCGGCATACCTTACATCATAATGCTGTACATGGGTATCCAAGTAATCCTGTATTATGTCACAGCACTGTAAAGACTTTTAGTGAAAATACTGACTGTGACCTTCGTGCATTTATTTATTGTTTGGGTTTTGTGCATACTAAATTCGAACACACCATATCGCCTGTTAACTGTAAGAACCTGTTTTCCAATGTGCCTCGCAACCGACCACAGGTTATCGCATGTATATCAACACAATGTTACCTATCTCTGTAGATAATTCGTGACTCGGCGTTATAGCTGTTGTGTAATTCAACTTCATTCGGACGGAAACATCCGAGTTGTCAACATTGTGTTATCGGCTGTCGTATCTAACCTACAAAACATAAAGTATGGTGTCCATTAATCTCAGTGATCCTGCCGTGCAATCGTACATTTTATATTCGGGTATTTTGGGTTTAAAATTATTGGCCGTTACAATATTAACCGGCAGAGTGCGTTACGCTAAAAAAGTGTTTGCAAATGAAGAGGACGCGAAGCGCACAAAGGGCAAGGTGAAGTACGATGACCCCGACGTTGAACGAGTGAGACGCGCTCACTTGAACGATCTCGAGAACATTCCAGTGTTTTGGGTGCTTGGGGCACTCTATCTTACAACAGCACCTGAGGCTGCCTGGGCAACTCTGCTGTTTCGAGTGTACACAGCTGGACGAATACTTCACACTATTGTGTACGCAGTAAAACCATTACCTCAACCGGCGCGAGGCATCGCCTTTGGTATTCCTTTCATAATTACTGTGTACATGGGTTTCAAAGTAGTTACACATTTTATAACTGCTTTGTAGCAATATATTTGGTATGTTTCGACTGTGAAATAATTTTGTAATGGATGAAATGGTTTTTTTTATTAAATGGTTGAAGTAAATACGGTTCGTTTCTTTTTACTAGATACTGTATAGATACAATATTTATAAGTAACTTAAGCTTTGGAAATGGAATCTTACATTACGATGCAAAATTTAATAAATTAATCAAAATTTGATAAACAAAATTTAGATTTCGAAAACAATCAATGGCTGGCGATAAATAGCTAAAATTACGGGAAAGACAACATTGTAAGAATAAAACAAATATGGAATTTCTTCAAAGTCTTGAAAATCACTACTGAGAGTGTAACAGTATACCTAAAAATCAAAACTAAAGCAGATTAATTTACTATTTATATCCTGGACAAGAATGATAGTAGGTATCTACGCACGGCATACTTACAACAACTGGATATCTATTTGCTGGACAACACATTTTACTTGTGATTTTAAAGTTTTCCCTGGGAACTCTTTTCTGATTCGTATTTTAGTTCATAATATGGGAAAAAGAGCCTTAGTACTGACTCAATGTTCCGTTTGCCATAAACATATTTTTTTTGAATACGACTTTCTAAGTTTGGTTTTATTCGAAAACCCATTCAATGGGTTTACGACGGCCATTCGTTTTGCATTATTGCTCTGTTATTGCGGAGGAGTCGCATCGTGAATTTAAAACCCCGCTGATAATTGCGCTGAAACAGTTAATAAATCGCTAAACGTATTGTTCCTCGTAACGAGCTTATTTCGATACTTTTGTATTGGATTGGCCGGTAATAAAATGTAATGTAACCATAACAAAACCGATTACCTATTTATGAGCACGTTATAAACGCCTACACCGCCAGCAAAAACGTCACCATAATATACCTAGAGACCAAATAATGACAATCTGGAAAGAGGTGGGTATATATCCAATCTTGGAAGTGGGTGGCTGGTAAGACTAGGAAATAAACGTGGTATGCCCAAAACACAATAACGGTGTACCTATCTGTAATGCGCTATGTAAATAAATTTTTTACCAAACCATTTTGCTCAAATAAATTCGAGTCTAACCTTGCAATATACATAAGTATCGATTTTATTAATAATGCTTTGAACTCATTCGTCATAACAAGAAACAATTTTTTTTTCGTACCTATGCTAATAGCCTTGAGAGGCTATTTTAGCTTCGCCTTGACGTGAAGATGAGCTCACGAGGTTCAAACCGGGATTGTTGCTAACACTGGCCCTAGCAAGAGCAGTGCTTCGCAGAATCCACCACTGGATCGGAAACGCGACCCACTGAGAATCTCAGTGGGCTGTGTCTATTACTCGTCGAGACCTTCGAGACGGGTTCGGCGAGGACAGTGACCAGCAAGAACCAATGTGAACATGATTATCATCAAGCTTATCATATAGCTCAGCCACCTACTTTTGGTTTTTTCTTTTCTTTTTTTGTATCTTTTTTTTTAATGTAAAAGGCAATAAATTATTTTATTATTATTATTATTATCTACTATTACTTATCAATCTATTTGAGTAGAGAAGTTCATGGACCACTTGCTTTGAATTAAGGCTACACACAGCACTCGAAAGTTTCAATGCAATAGAATATAATAGGATAGTACCTAGATAAGTACCTACCTCGAGAAGGTATATTTTATACTGTTCCTATTTGATTATGGTTCGTTTAGTTCCCGAATGCGAGCTGAGTTGTTTTGAACACATTTTTGCTCATTTTGAAATTAGATTTGTATAGTCACCTGGTTTTAGTTTGATCGACAAAATTTTAAATCGTCCAAACTATCAAAATAATTTACTAATTCTACTCGAGTTGCAACATAAAAAATCACTATTTTCGGGTTCATGTACAGTTTCCGTCATTACAGACTATGATGTTATGTTCAAAACATCGGAAATAATATAATATAATATAATATAAAATAGCTGCGAGATTAAACTGTAGAAGCAGAAGACATCCCGAGTTGTGTAGATACATATTTTGTGTTAGATAGACCTATTAAATTTAGTATCTTTAACTAATTTAAGTCTTGTTACAAAGACATATGGTTGATTTTAACTTAGCACCATAATAACCACTCCGAGCTTTTGTTATCTATGGACCAGCTGCGAGTTGTGACCTTGAATGCGAATCGAAGTAACCAAACAACCATACGGCAGCAATAATATTCCGTTTTTAAATTATAGTACAGAAAATACAGTGTCAATAATACAGTTTCTAAGTAAGTTTGGCTGTGGCCTTTTGCAAACTAATTTATTTAAGCATCGAAGCGGTAAGTAAATATTGTAGGTTATGTTGTCAACGTTTTGTTATTTGTTTTGTATGTGTTATACCATTGATTTAAATATACTTATATTTCAACTCTCTGCATTATACACAATACGACAGTAGTTTACATTTATTTTATCAATCTTAAAAACTGACTCCAACTTTCAAAACATTTTATAATCACTAATAATCACTTTACAGTGTCCTAGTCCTAGTTCGATCGTAATAGAACCAATACCTACTTGAATTAATGTGATTTGTTGTGAAGTATATTTTGCATTTTGTGTTTAATATTAGTTCTATAAACGCTTGTCTGAAAGAGATCGATTTTTGCGATAAGACCGCCCATTGTATTGACAGTTTTATTTTATTTCGTGTTAATCATTATTGCCTGTTGTATACAACAAAAAGTAAAATAAATAAGTAAATAATAACTGTAAATAAACATAAGCTATGTGTTAAAAAAATCACATACGATATGATAAGATCTTACATTCTCATTTTTTTCACACTACATACTGGACCAAGCTACATAAAATAACATTATTCCTATGAATACATACATATTATATCCTTTGTTCGTTCTTTTTGGAATTGTCAAAAATCAACGAAATCTGGATCGAAATGTAAGAAAGACTGAGACAAAGAATAGATCCAGCTAAGTAACTTTTTGTTTTAAGCCTGTGTATTTATAAATAAAAATTAAAAACTAGTCTGTATAATCTGTGTCGACAAACAACTGTTAAAAAAGGGGACTTTTGGCGGGAACGCGAGGAGTGAAGTTGTGTGATTTGTTTTATTTTGTCTATTTAGTATTTTTTCAGGTTTAAATGTGTAATAACGGTGGTTTATTAACTGTTTAATTATCTGTGAAAGTGCACAAATGTGGGATTATGAAATAAAGCCGCTGGACGTAACTTCTCGGGATCCTCCAAAAAGTCTACTGAAAAAATCTCAGAAAATGACCACCATTTTACTGAGATTAAATTCCATCCCATATCATTTCATTTAATTTCATCCCCATTGATTAATGTCTCAAATTAATGATCTTCATTTCATTTCATATCATTTCATTTCATTTCACTCCATATTATCATTTTTCAAAAGTAAGGATATAAATTAAAATAAGACATGACTTAAAGGTCTTAGTTACCAAGTCATAAAATCTTAAAAAAAACTATAAGTCACAATCTATTTTGCTCGTAACAAAACATTAAAACTACAAATAGGTATGTATGGAAATGTAACTTGTTTAATGACTAATAATAATTAGTCAGTTATACAAGTTACATTCTCCAAGTAATTAAAAGAACTAAATTATTTCAAAAGACTCACAGAAACAGTTTAATGTTTTCGACAACGTGGCCGCGTTGTTGGAATACAAATCAGCATGCTGCCGTATATAAACAAGTTTATATTCCCATCGCGTCTATGGGGCGGATTGAATGTATAGTTCATTCCACCACATTCAGCTTAAGTGATTCTAAGGCGACCCAATATGGTGCTGGTAGGTTGAGGTGGAACAATAAAATGTTGAGAATATTTTATATTAATGTTAAAACACTTCACTCTCTCCTGTAGTTTAGAAATATTTAGAGCCAGTAATTTTCTATTGATTTTTACAAAATATAATACCGTTCTACATAGTCAAATAATCTTTATAATAGTTGTTATTGTCAACACAAATATTAAATATGAAAATATAAGGCTTACCTTTGTGAATAGATCGCAAGAGACTGTATGAAACACCTTCCCGTAGATACAAATGTCTTTACCAATATCGAGATCCTTCCAGTGCCAGCATTCGCCGGCGTCATTCTTTGGAATCCTACCTCTTTTTACCAAACGACCTTGCCATAAACCCGAATTCTGCAAATTTAATCATTGTAAACTTTGAGGCATATCGAGTATTTTAGATGGTCCCATCTTACCATGGCAACAGATTTTCCCTATTGACTTCTATGTACCAAATTAACTTCCTAACCGCGGCGTTTTTCACGTCTCTATATTCTTTCCGATTTCAAAAAGTGTCTTCAGCGGTAAGGTACGGATTATTTAGCTGTATTGTGACATCACTGATGGCCATGAGCAATGGTAAACGCATAATAAGACCATTGTCAGGTGGAAAAAGAATAGGTACAAAAACAAACGTGTGCTAAGATGATAAACACGGCATCTTGGGATAATAACAGTCCTACTCAGCAAACCAAGCCAGCGCATCGTAGCTTTGCGGAACTGATAAAAAGGAGCCTGGTATGACTTCATATCAAACCCTCAGTAAATACATAAAATTTTGCTGGGTTTTATTTTATAATTAAGGCAACTGCCCCCTTAAAGCCTCATAAGCACTTGACTGACACAAGTACCCTCTTAAAAGTAATATATCCATTAAAACAATAATACTCGTATGCACTTCATAAATTATTCACAAGCAAAATGATAAAACCCTAGGTGTATTCAATGCAAAAAAGATGGTCCCATTAAACGAAGCTGGTTGCATCTGCCGCTGGCATTCATATGGAGACAAATGCGTGCTCATTTCCTAGCTCCGTCGCAGATTCGCTATTCCTACCTTCCACTCTCAGTGCATTATTATACTTTTGTTATTTTTAAGTACGAACAACGCTAACTTGAAAAGTACAAAAGATAAATAAGACCTTGAGAAAATGCTAGTGCCATAATTGGAAATTTACAGAAACAAGACAACTTTAGTTAATTTTAGTTATAATTATTTACGTTTAACTCATTGAGGTTTGCAGCTGTTTAATAAAACAACAAAGAAAGAAGTTAGTTTACAAATACTTATTTTTAGAACATGGTCGGCCATGATATTTGCTATGAATATCAAATAGGTTAAAAATCAATACGCAGAGACATTACGTACATCTTTAATATAAGTACAGGCACTGGGATTGCATTATACCGACCTGCCAATTTGAATAAACTGAACGTAAGCCCTTGAATACAATCTACATATTTGAATTTGGCCGCGAAAGTCGTTTACGAGTGACAGAAGAAATATTCGGAATCATAAATCTTTGTGGAGGAACTCATTTCAAAGGAAATTACCATTTCTAAAATGATGAATCAAAACGAAATATGAAATTTAAATTCTTTTAGCTCCGATCCATTTTGAGCGGCTTACAAAAAAATTTGTACGTAGCATGTGATTATAATCTCGTGTAGTCGCGTCGTCGCCGTAACACCGTCTTGACAAAGTGGCTTAATATTTTGGGGTAACTCAAGTAAACTATGAGATCGCACATAGTTGGAAGACGTCGGTATTTCATAATTTTAATAGTTAAAGAAATAACAAATGTCTAACCTTAATTCTGGGTTCCATGACTGTCATAGAATCATCTTCGAGGAAGTAAACAATATTGACCACTCGTACTCTATAGTTTTCATCCGGATTTTCAAACACTGGCTGTTTGAAAAATGCCGTAAAATTAAGGCAGCGTTTGTCATAATGGACCCAGTGCGGCACGACTGCCGGCAACGCTGGCTGTTTCACCCGTCCATAGGTCAGAGATGGGTCATAGCTAGAAATAAAAGTACGTATAAAACAAGTTAAAGATTATTGTTCTCATCGATAAGTTCTGATAGGAAAACATCGTTTGTAACTAAGCAACAATTGTTGTTATTGTTCACTTTTTCTAATTTAGTAATTATCTGATTGATTTCAAATTTAGTCTTGTACACAAATAATATTACGGTTTTACATAACAATAAAACCGATATTATGTGCCGAGAAGGAAAACATACAGCATTGTATTATGAAGAAGCAGTGTGTACTTAGCTTAGATTCCTTGTCTATGTCCAACCATAGACAGTCAATTTAGTTCCATCTTTAGCCGCTAGGTGCTGCCAGCAAGTATAAAGGGAGCGCAGCCATCTTTGNATGGCGTCCGATGATAGGATTGGTAAATAATACTCGTAATGATTGCAAAATAACACTCATAGAAACACAAAATAAATATTTTTTGCAATTAATAAGAAGTCGAATAAATATTTGTGGACTTGCGACTTCACAGTACGAAAGTACACAACGCTATGTAGAAGATCAAAGATGGCTGCGCTCCCTTTATACTTGCTGGCAGCACCTAGCGGCTAAAGATGGAACTAAATTGACTGTCTATGGTTGGACATAGACAAGGAATCTAAGCTAAGTACACACTGCTTCTTCATAATACAATGCTGTATGTTTTCCAAAGGCACATCAATTTAAAGTTACTTGATTAGTATGTACGATACGTACGATATACAATAGTAAAAAAAAAGTTAAGCAGGATCTTAGTTTTGTCTAAATAGTACAGTAGTAATTTGAACGCACGTACACATCATTTTTAATTGATTAATATTATCATTGTATCTATACATATATAATTAAATATGTACATCTTTGGCATTGAATGATATGCAATTTCAGCAGAAACATAAAATTTCGCAGCATTCCCCTATATTGAAAAACTATGAAAACATAAAAAAAAATATAGTAACTACGTGGAGGGTATGTCCGTTTTAGATATTAGAGTGACGCGACGCTCTATCTTGTCTAGTCAGCTCGTGAACAGGTGAGGGCTTCCTCAGCATAATCGATTTATGCAAAACTCTCTAACGCTAATGCTCACCCGAAGCCTTCAGGAAACCTATTACCAACGCATCTAAAACTGACGAACTGACGACTAACTGTATTCGTAAATTGTGTCATGAAAGAAAATCTGTTTGAAGTTCAATTAGCAGCATTGACCCACAGCAAGGACGCCTTGGTGGCAGTCTGCAGGTGTGTGGTGCAGTTGTGGTGAAAGATTCACCACGTGATTTAAGCCTATATGATTTCTGCCATTCATCGCTTGTTCCGGTTCAAGGTAAATCCATTATCACAATGCAGTCAACAGTTTCAAAATGTATGGCATGATTTACTTTGCGGTTTCTAAACCCTTCGATAATGGCATCAAAGCCACAATTAAAAAAAATACATTACACTAACTTGATAGAATCATCGGGCAAGGCAAACGCATTGCTGTCAACATCAGTTGGTGCTCCACCGGGCCCTCTAACTACGGTGTCCGGGAATCTGTGGCCTTGATAATATCTTAAAGAGCTTCGCAAATGATACTGCGTCCTGGTTGGATCCGAAAATGTCAAACCTGGTAGCTTAGGGAGACCCCACGCCATGGCTGTAATAAAAATTTAGGAAACAAATAATATGTTCATAAATAAGCAAATCGTGCAAATTTGGTAACGAATAAACAGGCATTCAATTGAATGTACGAAACTATTCTGTGAAGTTAAATAACTTTTGTTTCGCATTTTTATTCTACGTACAAATTATTGTAAACTCACCTATTCGATTAGTTGTTATTGTTTATGAAATGTATTATCAAAAATATTTATTAAAAATAATTAAGCAAACAGCGAAACAATGTATACATTATCTTGGAAGCGAAAGTTTCGTTGTTGGGTAGACTGCTGTTAATATAATGAAGGGTCTCGTTTCTAAGCAACCAACCTTCCGATGAGTCTTCAATGACAACGAATAAAGATTACATTATTTAAAAAGGTTACATACTCTCAGTTTCTGTAGATATTTTATGGCTAAGCTGACTATGCACTCGGTGCTGGATTTTTTTATCAACGGATTAGGCAGTTGAAAAAACCTGTACTACAAGATGAACTGCTATCTAGATAACTTTCTACTTCACTTAACAAAGATTTTTATGAATTATTATTCACTTTCATTTTCCAATATCTTTGATGGAAATTTAAAGAAAATCTTTTGAATTTCGAAAATCTCTTATCGAAGAATTCAAAATTTAATCGTAATCTTTTTTTTTTATTGCTAAAAAAGATGAACAGTAAGCTCACAGCCCTCTTATGTTATGTACTTACCAGAGTACGTAGGCATCAACAACATAATTGCCGTTACCCACCTTGAGACATGAGCTCTAAGCATCAGTTCTGTTAGTACAACAGCTGCCCCAGCCTTCAAACCGGAAAACATTACTGCTGCGCGGATGAAATTCTCGGGGTGGTGATTCCCATCCATGGCTGCCCAGAAGACGCGTTACCATCGACGAATACATACCAAAATCCTGGTCGAAGACCGAATTCTATAGTGCAATTATCCTTGAGTAAAAAAATAGTTTCATATTCAAACATTACGAGTGTTATCCTCACATGAATATGTGAAGAATACACTTCATATATATCTTTATGTAGAAAGTTTTTATTATATCTATCGAATTCTTTCATATAACATAGAATAATACAGTCAAATAAAAAATGAAAATAAAACATTTGAAAGTTCGTGATTTACACCAACAGTGGCGCAATTTTAGATTTTAAAATCAATAACGTGTTGTAAGTAGTAAAGTTGAAAGAGAGACGTAAATAGAATTCCGAACAAAAGTTACGTTTTAAATGAAAAATAAAATAGTTTTATGGTTGGTTAAAAAAAGAAAGAAAAAGAAAAACCGTTGTTTAGTTTACTTGTACCGTAAACTCCCAACTGTATGAATTTTAAAAACTATGTATATACAATGTACTTACGACTTTGTGCGTGTCAATATTCGTAACTTTCCATTTTATTGTCAATACAGATAAACTAGCTCATGACCTACATGATTTGTAGCGATTGCCGGAGCCCATGGCCATCATAACGCGAATGCCGACACTCACCTAAAGCCTTATGCGGTCAAAGTCTCAATTGGATTATAAAACCAACTTCCCATCCTTCAATCCGGCTCATAGTACGTCCTACTAATCTGTAAATGTCGATTGACAGTCGCAGTACACTGGTATAATACTCGCTATATACATAATAACACTGCGGCTCATTCTCCGGTGAATGCCTCAGTCGCCTTTACGACACCCACAGGAAAAGATGAGGGCGTGTTATTCTGGACCACACTGATGAAATTGAAATCGATACTAACAATATGTACTATGGAAATTAACTTCCACAAGCATACAATTGAAGAGACAAAACCATGAATAACATTCGATGCTTAGAAGACGCAGTCAAGTTAAATTCCCAATGATGTTATTATTGAAATATTAGGAAATTATCCACTTCGATTATTCTGCAGTGTATTTTTTACTAAATTTCTCGTGGGATCGTGTAGTAGAGATGGAGGAGGTTGATTAATGTGTAGTGGCTGTGAAAGCCAATAGATGGCCTTTATCAAAGTTGCACCGTCAGAGCCTCCATAAATCCATCTCAGGTGAACTTGACTGCTCGTTGATAAAGGGCAAACCATCCATACACATATTCTACAGTAGTACAGCTATTATTTTATTTATAACACTGATCGCTAACTCTAATCAACTAATTCCTTTAATACTTATTACGATAAAAATTATACCTTACAAAAAAAAAAAAATAGAAAGGCCTTCGTCAATGTAAACTTTTTTCGAGTTTTAAATAAGTAATGACTAGATTAATTAAACAAGGCAACGACTGTGTATTTTAAGGCTCGCTATTTTAATTTATTTTATTTTTAGAATTCAAGATGGCGTACCGGCTAAAGGGCATATCGAAACTTGTTCAACGTAATTTGGGTTTTCTTAGAAATTATAGCGAGTCTCGTCATCCCTTCGTTTATTCCAAGGAAGTTTCTCGGGCAAAGTCAGAAAATATGCCAATAGTAGCCCTCGAATCAACTATTATTACACACGGAATGCCTTACCCACAGAACTTGGAAACGGCTCTGGAAGTGGAGAATATAATTAGGCAACGGGTAAGCGAACAATATGGCTTGTGTTCTTTGAATGGGTAGAGTTTTACGATATACGATTATAAGTTATTGACAATTAATTATCACAATTACGTAAGCCTTTTGTGATGCTAATTTTCTTTGTAGTACGTCTACAACGCTTCAACATGCATACGTTTTCTTTAACTTTTTTTGTTAATTACGATTTACTTATGTGAGTTTTTTTAAATCCTAATTTCAAATTTATTGGTTTGCCTGAATTTCCGCTGAACTAATAAAACGCCTATTAAAACAATAGTGCAAGCCCATTTATAATAACTTAATACATATACGGTTTATTAATATGAAAATTAAATGCAGGCAAATTTTTTTTTTATTGCCTATGTAGGCAGATGAGCACACGGCATACCTGATGGTAAGTAGTTACAGTTGCTCATGGACGTTAACAATGCTAAAAGTATGAGGATATATTTTGACATGACCTGAGGACAGTAAGCGAGCGAATTTTTTTTAATTTTTTTATTTCTTAGATGGGTAGACGAGCTCACAGCCCACCTGGTGTTAAGTGGTTACTGGAGCCCATAGACATCTACAACGTAAATGCGCCACCCACCTTGAGATATAAGTTGTAAGGTCTCAGTATAGTCACAACGGCTGCCCCACCCTTCGAACCGAAACGCATTACTGCTTCACGGCAGAAAAAGGCAGGGCGGTGGTACCTACCCGCGCGGACTCACAACAGGTCCTACCACCAGTAATTACGCAAATTATAATTTTGCGGGTTTCACTTTTATTACACGATGTTATTCCTTCACCGTGGATGTCAATCGTGAACATTTATTGAGTACGTATTTCATTAGAAAAATTGGTACCCGCCTGCGGGATTCGAACACCGGTGCATCGCTTCAACACGAATGCACCGGACGTCTTATCTTTTAGGCCACGACGACTTCTAAGACGAATATACAGCGAACTGCATATAACTGGAGTCAGAATTCACATGCTCAACCCGCAACCTCTCACTTTAAACGTCACTGTGGGACTATTTATGGAAAGAAAGATAATGGTGTATTTGTTAACACATATATTTGAACATAATTTTTTGGTCTTTATATATCCTAGGGTGCCGTTCCAGCGACTGTGGCAATTCTTAAAGGGCAATTGACCGTTGGTCTGACGGAAGATCAACTTCGATACCTTGCTCAGGCCAAAGGTGTAATTAAAGCATCGAGACGTGATCTTGCTTATATAGCTGCGGCTAAGCTTGACGGTGCCACAACCGTCGCTGGAACGATTATCGCTTCAGAACTAGCTGACATACCAGTCTTCGTGACCGGTGGAATTGGTAAGTTCAGTCTATACAGATATCTGCTCGCGTGTTCCCTCACTGCTGAGGGTCGTGACCATCATGTTTAGATAAAAAAAATATGCTTAGATGGGAAGACGAGCTCACGGCCCACTTGAAGTTAAGTGGTTACCGGAGCCCATAGACATCTACAATGTAAATGCCGCCACCCACCTTGAGATAAGAGCTCTAAGGTCTCAGTAGTCAGTATAGTCACAACGGCTGCCCCACCCTTCAAACCGAAACGCATTGCTGATTCACGGTAGAAATAGACAGGGTGGTGGTACCTACCCGTGCGGACTCACAAGAGGTCCTACCACCAGTTCTCATAAGAGTTCCTACCACCAGTACATACAGATACAATTGTATTTTAAATCGTAGTGGCCTAAAGGATAAGACGCCCAGTGCATTCGTATCAAGCGATGCAACTGTGCCGGTGTTAAATCCCGCAGGTAGATACCAATTTTTCTAACGAAATACGTACTTAATCAAAAATCACGATTGTCTTCCACGATGAAGAAATAGCATCGCGTAATAAAAATCAAACCCGCAAGATTATAATTTGCGTAATTACTGATGCTTTTTTTTTTTTTTTTTTTTTGTCAGGAGGAAATCGCCGGAATTCCGCCCTTCACTGGGGATGAAGGGCGGGGCATGTCGGAGTCGAACCGACTAAAACCTCCTGTCTCTCAACAACCAACGTCCAAACCTCGCATGAGACAAAACTCATGAAAAGGCAAAGGGGGGAAAGTGAAGCGTTTAGTGCGGAGCACATCTCTCCCATCACCCTCCCCCTCGGGACGCCGGACTGGCGGTCGTCGGCGCCACGACCACCAGCCCTCTCGGNGCGTCCGCGACTGCGGAGCGGGCGGAGAGATCAAACCGAATATATCGGTGATCTGACAGTGTCTCCGCCCCCTCCAAAACCCTCCAGTCGCGGATACGGCGCGCGATGGCCGGGCTCGCGAACGTAACGTCCACAATAGACTCGCCCTGCCACCGCACGCACGTCGCAACCGACCCTCTATTCAACAAACAGAGGCCGGCCGCGTTCGCCCACCTCTCCAGTAGCCTACCACGAGCGTCCGAGCGGGGGGAGCCCCATGCGATAGACTTCGCATTGAGGTCCCCCGCGAGAATCACTGGACGAGGAGCGAGGCGGCGAGCAATCGCCCCGATCTCGCCCAGGAAATGCCCGAACTCGACGGTAGGCCTGTTCGGAGAGAAGTACGCCCCGATCACGACGGTCCCTTCCAGCTGCAACGCGACGAACCCTTGACCCCTGGTCACCATCGCCAGGGGGGGGATCGCAGCGTCTCTTCGTATGACTATGGCCGCCAGGCCGCCGTCGTCCCCAAACCAACAATCATTTGCTGGGGGAACGAAGTACGGCTCGGCGACCACAGCCACATCTATGGACCGCTCCGCCATGCTCTGAGACAGCATGTCCTGAGCTCTGGCGGAGTGGTTCAGGTTTCCTTGGAGGAAGCGATAGGTGCGGTCCATTACTGTTGGACCACATCCATCGCCCCCTCCCAATTACTGATGCTAGGACGTCTTTACGTGTGTCTGCAAGGATCTTTGGTTTGAAAGGTGGGGAAGCTGTTATATTTTAAAAACTAAGACTTTAGAACCCATTTCTCAAGTTGGGTGGTGACATTTACGTTGTCAATGTCTTTGGGGTCCGGTAACCACTTAACATCTGATGGGCCGTGAGATCGTCCTCCCAACTACAAGCAACACAAGAAAAACATATCCTGATTGTTTGATTCATGAGTGCAGAGCCTAAACCTACACTTTAGTAACAGCCTTTTACACTCTAAAAATTTACACAGGTTTTTTTTTTGGAAATGTCACTTCGAACCCTGTAAAATAAGAGTTGTATGGAATTTCGTCATTTTCAAAGTAACAATCACCAAATTTCTAATACCTCTTGCTTGTTAAATATGTATAGGTACGTCTAGTATGTATATCATAGTTTTTCAATTGCTTACCAATAAAAGAAGAAGTAATTCCCATATAAACTTTAGCCCAATTTCCTAATTCATTCATGCGTTTGTGATGAAGCCTCGTATAATTTTTATTGACACAACGAGAAAGATTTCTGCCATAGGACCATCGCAACACGATCGATAGCGCGCGAGTAGTTTAAGAAAACCTATAGTTTACAATACGTACAATTACTAGCAGTCTACTGCAAAATGTGACCGCATTTCACTATTGTCATATTAACAGTGTGCTTTATCTATCTTTAGTACGGTCGGTACATCGTATTGTAATCCCGCATGAATTCGATTTTATAATAAAAATCAAACCTCGCTTAAAATAGGTAGGCTTCTATTATCACTTAACACCAGGGGCACTAGGCACACCGTGAGCCCATTATATATGTACATACATACATATATGTACAATCACCTCATTGATCTAGTGTTCAATGTCCCTTACTGCTGATACAGTATTTAAAAAGTCGAACTTCTACGAATACAGGTATAAATGCGTATCCATTTTTGTCTGCAGACCTTTCCTTACATGTAGATCACGCTCTGAAAATGCAACAATGGCTCTTAAATTATGGGAAAGTATCCGCTTGATTACATTCAATAATTTATAAGTTATTACTCCAGATATACTCCGAGCTGCTCCACACATTAGACGTTAGGCGAGTACATGAATTGTTAAAATCAATAAAGCAGAGCTCCCCTTGGCAACGAGATTGCTTAATGCATCAAACATTCAAAAGGGAACAAGTGCAATACCCAGTTGCGAACATAACAAAAGTACAACAAGGAAGCTTTTAGTTACGTAATGCCTTTCCCCGGGCCGTATCCATTATTTTCCCTATGCAATACGCTGAAACATAACGACTGTGTTTTTGTAAACAAATAGTTACGTGATAGATATTATAGGTGTTTTTTTATTTATTTATTGTACATATTAGTTGGTTTTTTTTCCCTACCTTGAAAGGCTATTTCAGCTTCGCCCTAACATGCAGGTGAGCTCTCGGGGCTCAAACCGGAGTGTTGCTAACACTGGCCCTAGCAAGAGCAGTGCTTCGCAGAATCTACCACTGGATCGGAAACGCGACCCACTGAGAAGATCCGACGAGAAACTTAGTGGGCTATGTCTGTGGGTTAATTCGCTTGTCGAGCCCTTTGTCGCAAGCGACGGGTGCGACGAAAACGGTGACCGTTCCTTGTGGTACCTAAAAGCATAGTTAATGGATCGGGAGAATCCGTAATGACGTGTTTTGGGCGACGTCGACTATTTACCATTCGGTCTACAGGATTGGGTATGAACATTAGTAGTTAAGCAGCTCACGGCATACCCGGTGTTAAGTGTTTACTGGAGTCTAAGGATATTAATGTCGCAACCCGACTTGAGGTATGAGGTCGAAGTTTTAATTATGTTCGATAAGCTGCCTCATCCTTCAATCCGGACTGCAGTGCTTCACTGTAGAACCGTGGCATATAACATTACAACACACACTATAACAACATTAGTGACAGCTCTCAGTATATATATTTTTTCTAAATGATGCGAATTTTCGAAAGTGTTACATCAATCTGGTGGCGGTGGTAGGACCTCTTGTGAGATCGCACGGGTAGGTACCACCACCCTGCCTATTTCTGCCGGGAAGCAGTAATGCGTTTCGGTTTGAAGGGTGGGGCAGCCGTCGTAACTATACTGAGACCTTAGAACTTATATCTCAAGGTGGTTGGCGCATTTACGTCGTAGATGTCTATGGGCTCCAGTAACCACTTAACACCAGGTGGGCTCTGAGCTCGTCCACCCATATAAGCAATAAAAAAATAAAATCGTCAAAACGTTAAACACGTGTTAAAGACGGGTTCAACACGTGAAAACCTTAGAAAATACATCAGTTCAGTTAACTAAGCATCGCGGTATTGCAATGAAACCACAAACTGCCAGTTTGCACTTAAAATACACTCAGGGCTTGCTTGTACTTTTACGAATGAAATTCAACGGCACGAACGAATTCATCTACGTGTCGCAGCGTTCAATTAGTCGGATGTAGACGGATCCCAGCCGTGCCAAACGAACGATGTAATTAACAACGTATTCTGCGCTCTCAACTGCGATTCGTCAATAAAATACATATATTTTGTCTTTTTGCTATGATATGTATGTTTTCTTTGCTAAAAACCTTGCTTACAGTTTTTTTTTTTTGTTTCGAATTCGTCTCGGCTTTAACGTATAAGTCGCCCGCTGTAATCATATCAATGTGATTGTGCCGGTATTCAAATCCGCACAGACACAGCCCACTGAGTTTCTCGCCGAATCCTCTCAGAGGGTCGCCTTTCCGATCCGGTGGTAGATTCTATGAAGCATGGCTCTTGCTAGGGTTCGTGTTAGCAACATTGTCAGGCTTGAACCCCGTGTGCTCACCTACTAGTTAAGGTTACGTTGATATGGTTTCTAGACCATCAGCTTAGGTAGGAAACAGAAAAAAATATATAAAATAAAACATGTATGTACGAGTATGTGTAGTTCACAAGCAGCGTCTCTTTTTGGTGTTACTTTTCATTTCATCGGATATTTAGTGTACTATTTATGTTATAATAATTTTCCAGGTAATAATTTTATTACCGTAATCAAAATACATAAAGGAGGCTTAACTTAAGAAAAAAACGTATAATTATCGAAAACATTAATCCACCGAAATTTCGTTTAACAACATAAATGTTATTTCACAAAAAAACTCGTATGTAATTATTAACGTATTGTTAAGTGTTATAAACTCAAGGCTATGGATAAAGTTATGTGTTTAAATCTACAGATTTTGTTCCGGGATTTGAAATTTCGAAAATAATATTTATACAGTTAATTCAGGTGTAGGTATTTGGTTCAAATACTCGATGCAATTCACTGGACCTCGTTAGGAGTTTAGCGTAGGAAACTATTTTGAAAAAAAACGCAATAACAATTTATGTTCGAGATCAAAATTACGTAATGCGCAATATTGTTAGTAGCGGCCACGGCCAAAAAAATTTATAGGTTATTTATTTCATTACAGTCATCGTTCCTACGCCGGCTAAGGATATATTTATCGAGTTTAATTTAAAGGGACGACGTTTAATAAATCAAAAAGAAATAATTAACATTTCGATCGTAAATAAAAACTGTTCTTAATAAAATCTATAGTTTTATTTGATAAGTGTTTTCAATTCGTATTAGTAATTTGTTCGTGCACACTAATATAAATAGTACAATACTTCAGTATCCGGGCGGGAGCTCCGAGCTGTTGACTATTTCGAGATTAGGTACCACCACCCTGCCTATTTCTACCGTGAAGCAGTAATGCGTTTCGGTTTGAAAGGTGGGGCGGCCGTCGTAACTCTACTGAGACCTTAGAACTTGTATCTCAAGGTGGGTGGTGCATTTACGTCGTGGATGTCTATGAGCTTCAGTAACCACTTAACACCAGGTGGGCTGTGAGCTCGTCCACCCATAAAAGCAATAAAAAAAAGAAGATTATGTTCGTTTATCATCCTGACTTTACAGATCATTTCGGGCGATCGTAATCTGAGAAATTGTTTGAGATCAACATATCGCCCACCAGAGCAGCGTTAACCCTAACCTTTTGGAACCAGTACGTCGGTTCTTACTTCATTTCTAAATATCAGTTTTGCCACAGGCCGTTCGTGAAATGAAACAAATCTTGAAAGCTTTCCCCGTGTTTTTTTTATTGCTTAGATTGGTGGATGAGCTCACAGACCACCCGGTGTTAAGTGATTACCGGAGCCCATAGACATCTACAACGCAAATGCCGCTACCCACCTCGAAACATAAGTTCTAAGACCTCCGTTTTTTACAGTACTGCCCCACTCCTCAAATCTAAACGCATTACTGCTTCACGCACGCAGAAATAGGCACGGTGGTAGTACTTACCACCAGGTGTTTTGAACTCTATTATTTATTTTATTTTATTTATAACTTCATATACTAGAAAGTATAAAGGCATTATGTAATGCCATAGGCATTCTCTAACAGTCTACCTTAGGGGAGTGCAGAGATGAACCTTGGTAGGTGTAGTGTGAAGGTGATATTACTTAAACATATGTGTATATATAACATTACATGTACTTCTTTGAACAAGTTTTGAGGGTCCTTAGCAATTGCATGTCACGGCATTGTCTATGTATCGCGAAGGCACAGAATATACCATGAATATCATAATTTTAAAAACCAGGACAAACAAATGCGTAATTACTATTGGATAAGAGGTATTATAAACCTGCATGTCTAGGCACTATCGTCCTGGCTAATTCCACCGCGTAGTTGTAATGCGTTCCAGTTCGAAATGTGCGACCGCCTTTATACAATACCATTCGACTCGTATTTTTTTTCCTACCTATGCTGATAGCCTTGAGAGGCTATTTCAGCTTCACCCTAACGTGTGTAGGTGAGCTCACGGGGCTCAAATCGGAGTGTTGCTAACACTGACCCTAGCAAGAGCAGTGCTTCGCAGAATCTACCACCGGATCGGAAACGCGACCTACTGAGAAGATCCGGCGAGAAACTCAGTGGGCTGTGTCTATGGGAGACCCGTATTGCGATGTCTATATACTTCTTTATTCGCTTAACATAGCGCTAACACTAGCTCATAGCACTCGTCCCTACATGAATTACGAAAAGAAATCCAATGTTAATAAACTCTTTCAGGAGGCGTCCATCGTGAAGGTGAAAGTACACTAGACATCTCAGCAGATTTGAATGAACTCGGGCGAAGCAAAACACTCGTTGTTTGCAGCGGAATCAAATCAATACTCGACATAGGAAGAACTCTCGAATATTTGGTAGAAACTGTTCATGGAAGCTAAACTGTTTTTTTTGGATTTAAAATATGAAAACAATGTCGTTAATGAGTCTCAATAAATTAATTTATTCGTAACTTGTATGACATCATAAATGAATATACTTACACTCTATTCCAAATGCATTATTTTATAATAAATACACTTTTTAAATTACAAAGTCTCTTTTGACACTTGTTACAACGTAACTCTTCACGTTTCGCATAATTTGAAATAATAATCATTTTTTGTTCATGGTCGTAAATCATCATTTAAAAAATACACTTTCAATCTAAATCATTATACAATTAATTCACACACACAATAACATAATAATAACATCTCTCTCATGGGACTTCGTAATTGGAATAGAGTATGTATAGGTTTTGTTGGAAAATCGAATCTAATTGAAATAGTTTAGATACAAAAATATTTGAGCACTGTTCCTCAAACACAATTCAATAAACAATAAAAAATAATTCTAATTTTATAAGTTAGGCCGGTTTTAGTAAATTAATAAATGGAATTCTTAAGAATAATCCAATTGTAATATTACTGGTGGTAAAACCTCTTGTGAGTCCGTGCGGATAGATACCACCGCCCTGCCTATTTCTGCCGTGAAGGACGGGGCAGCTGCTGTAACTATACGGAGACCTTAGAACTGATATCTCAAGGTGGGTGGCGCATTTACGTCGTAGATGTCTATCTTCCAGTAACCATTTAACACCAAGTGGGCCGTAAGCTCGTCCACCCATCTAAGCAAAAAAAATATTGTGTGATAAGAGTTGAAGTTTCGGGTATTATTTTTTCATATTTTATTCAGGAAACGCAAGGCGTCTGTGTGTGTTCGTTTGGCGAGTCTAACGAGTTTCCAGCATTTTACACGGTCCGTTCCGGTCACCGGGCCCCGTATAACGTTGCCGACGCGAAGCACGCCGCTCGGATTCTTCACGAATCACACAGATTCCACCTCAATTCCGGCGTCGTCATCGCTGTTCCTGTGCCGCGACGTGACGCAATGGACGGTGAGTTACGCGACTCATTTAAACCATTAAGTTAAAAAGAATCATATCTCATGAGTACCAGGAGCGTGGGGCGTCCTCCAACCAGGTGGACCGACGACTTAGTGCGCACGGCGGGAAGTTGTTGGATGCGGAAGGCGGAGGACCGCATTCTGTGGAAAGCATTGGGGAAGGCCTATGTCCAGCAGTGGGCAGATAAAGGCTGATGATGATGATGATGATGATGATGATATCTCAGCGCAAATTCCTAGACAAACTTCATTCAACTCATCGTTTTAATCTGATTCTATATATCTATAGTCTATACTTAATATATAAATCTATAGTGGTTTTTACGGATATTCCGTTATTATTACTGAACCATACATCCGATTTAATTGAAACTTGCTATTCGTGTAGAAAATACGTCATGTACTTAATGGATAGGCTAATATTTAAATAAGTGTTGGACTCTCTAATATTAATGACAATAAATAATAATGTTAATTTTAAATGCCCAGCGAAGCGGGCGAGTACGGCTAGTGTATACACATAAATAGATAAAGGACATTTAAGTTCCATTTTATTTTATGTTTGTCAACTTTTTGATATTTCTTTTACCTAGTAAATATATATCCATGAGACTTAGTATCAATAGACATCTTGAGACACTTGAGACATATGGTCGAAGTTCTAATGATTCAATAATTCTGGTTGTCGAACGCAATATACTGGAATAATATTGAGAGGAAGATATGGGGTTGTGCTCTTCTCTTTCTGGTCGTTCTTTCAATGCTGAGGATCGTGACTGTATGTCAATCTTCTCCACTCGGTGCTCTTCTAGGCCAGATTATATAGACATTTTGATACAAAAAATATTATACCTGTATCTTTGTTAATTGTAGAAAAAGTAATTGAAGAGGCCATCAATAGTGCCCTGACGGATGCCAAAAGAAAAGGTATTCGTGGTAAAGAAGTTACTCCTTACATTTTATCGAACGTTAGTGAAGCGACCAGCGGCACGTCACTTGAAACCAGTATCCTTTGAAACACAATCCAACTCCAACTGCATACTAACCGTTTGACCAGGTCGATGTAAACACACCATAAGTGGTGATGCTCCTATGCCCAGGATTCGTCTTGTGTTTAACGAAGATTTTTACAATCCAGCACCACTCTTCTCTTACGGCTTCCACACAGAACGAAAGAACAGTATCTTGAGCTCTGGTAATTTATAAGATTCGAATTTTCATCTTATCTATAAGCGGATCGCAGGTGTTAGGCTTATCTAACCACCCATTTTATCTATTAAAGTTTGGAGATTTTTTTTCAATGGATTCTCACACCATACGTGCTATCATTCCGATTAAATCGTAAATCGTACATTTTTTTTTATTCCTTAGTTGGGTGAACGAGCTCACAGCCCACCTGATGTTAAATGGTTACTGGAGCCCATAGACATCTACAACGTAAATGCGCCATCCACCTTGAGATATAAGTTCTAAGATCTCAAGTATAGTTACAACAGCTGCCCCACCCTTCAAACCGAAACGTATTACTGCTTCACGGTAGAAATAGGCAGGGGTGGTAGTACCTACGCGCGCGGACTCTCAAGAGGTCCTACCAGCAGTAATTATTTAATAAGATTTATTTAATTATTGAAAACGTTACAACAAACTATGTCTGTATGTCATCTACTAATATATCAAGCAAATAATCAAGTAGCACTCATACACGATCAACTGTATGAGGGCTCATAAATCCTTTTATTTCCGAATGTCTTTCCGTCGCGGATCATTAAGAGATCGTTAACTACATAATTAGGTCTCGGCGCTCTCATTTCTCCGTAACAGTGTCGTAAATTAAACGTCCAGAAACATCAACGATCTGTAAACGATAGCAGCCGAGTTAATTGTCACGATTTTTCACTCAAACGCCCCTCAGATATCGCATTGATAAAGAACAATGCGCGCGTCGGCGCCGATATAGCCGTCGAATTTAAAAAACTCAAGAACGCCGACAATGTAAACGATTCTAATATTGGATTCCGCAAGGGCGCCGAGAATATCTCGAATTTCACGAGGACATTTCACACTTCGTCTAATACGAGGAGCGGGGCGGAGAATTGCGGAGATGATACGCCTATGCTCGCTTTAGATATGAAGGCGGACGGAGACGTGCTCGTGATCGGAGGGGCCAACGTTGACAGAACCTACAGAGTATCAGAAGATACCATTCAGGTAAGTTTACGATCATCACGTATCGGCCAATGTGGATATTTACGTTATATTATTTATCAAAATGTTTTCCAAGTCAAATCAAATCAGATCAAATCAAAAAAAATTATTCAACATAAATGAAAGTACCTACATACTTGTTGAACGTCATAAAGAACTACCGCCAATTTACAAAATCTAGCCTCCGTCCTGAGAAGAACTGGCAACAAACTCAGCGGGCATATTGTCTTTTTTTTGATTTGATAGTTACGAATGAAAAGAATTTTAGAAATACATTCGAAATATTATGTATATTGCAGCACAATTATGTTCGCGTGTCCGAGCGAGACAGCGAGATATTGCTTCTTCACACCAACTCGAACCGTTGAACCATTCGGCTAATTTAAAAAAAAATGTCATTTTTTAATACTAATATATATGTACATATTTAAATGATGTACAAAATGAAACCAAAGAAATAATACTATTGTCTTGTAAATCAATGTTAAACATGGAAAAACAGTAGATTTAATAGTTTAAAGGTTTCCTAATAAGATGACGTCATGTCTTTTAAGAAAAATAAAGCACGATATTTTAACAAACATTTTATTTAATGCATTTATAATGATAGTATTAGCTCTCAGTCGCCTAGTGCGTACCTTCGGAAAGTTTGAACAACTATAGTTATTGAAAATTAAACATATTTAATCAGAAACCATCAAGTTGCAAGATAAGAATCTTAAGCGACACATTACACTGACGTAATCTTCCTCTATTAACAATCTATTTTACTTGCATAGAAGATAAGTTAGTAGTCATCCAATAGTTACCAAGAAAGTATAATAATATAATTAAAATTCAGTAAAAAGGTAGTTGATAGAACATTATATAGACGGAGGCAGCACGTTACTGTAAATTTCAATCATTATTATTCTTTATTTTATCTCATTTCGATTAGTAACATTAAATAAAGACAACATCAGTAATATAATTATGTAAGCCAAGGCACATGTAGTTTAACCTTTTATTTGGAAGAAATGCAGGACTTAGATTGGATCCTATCTACAAATTATTCAACTTTCCGAATATAGGTACAAATTTTATAAGATTGGTACATTTATGTGACAACAATATTTAAAAAACTATTTTTCTGCATAAATTCACAAAATATTAGACCTACTCTAAGCGAACATAATACAATAATCGTAATTACAATATAATATCTATAAAGTTACACCAATATAAATACAAATATGTACGACAGAAGATATTCGAATATCATTTTGATAAGGGCTTTCGGGCACAATGGCCGGCTCCAACGCGCCACAGAACACGCGCGCAATCACGAGGTTCTACGGAACGATCTCAGCACGAGGCACGTATAGGTCACACCTACACTTGACACAGCCATGATATAATATAATCTAACCTATGGATACGACGCCACACATACGATTCTCGGGATAATTTAGAACCTGTGCATGCTTACGAGTGAGTCCCCCTTACATTTTTTTACGTAATGATTGAAATTAATACGTTTGAAATTCTTCTGCGACAGTCGAACTAGAATGGTGCTCGTTCGATTTATATTGTTCACAAGCATATTATATTTGTAGGCACTACGTTGTTTAAGCTCATATCAGTACTATTTGTGTAAATCTGTCCATGTACAACAACTCGCGCTCTACTCATGTACAAATTGTTATTATTATTTACACATTACACTCACCTTTACTAGAAGGTTTTCCAGTTATATAACGAGAACTAGATAAATAGACAACGATCGACACCACTCGCACACTCGCTCACGTGTTTAAAAGCTTACGGGACATTGGTTCTTGAATAACGCATGTTTCCTAACCAAGCAAGTGAATCACTAATCTACGTTCCGAAGTGTTCGGACTAAAAATACTGTTTGGAGATCGGTGCAGGATTAAAAATCTGACTAAAAATGTATGTTAAATGTATAACACGCTGACTTCGGAAATTATCGAAAACGTTTTTTAGGATCACGACAATATATAACATACATAGTAAAACGCCGCTTTCTTGTACTTATAGTAGAATTATTTTGTCCGTGCAGTTTTGGTCATAAAAAATCGGAGCGGTGAAGCGAGTATTTCGCTCTCTCTGCCACTCACGAGCCTTATGGACGGGCATAGTGATGCGTATTATTGTTGCCGATAAACGTTATCGATAGTGTATTTAGTTTTGTCATTTTGTAGGCTAGTGATAAAAATGAAAGAAAGAATCACTAATCGAACACTTGCACCACATATCGCCGCAGCAAGTTAACGAGAACGGCAGAAATTAACACTTTGTAACTTTTCGGGATTTATTCTTATTTCAGTGAAAAATTTTAACACATTGTTGACAACACGTGCAAATATTCTTTTGAATAAATTCTGCCATTTTGATACAAAACAAAGGAGTAGCCATTGTGTCACTAAAGAAATTCAGAGAACGAATGCATAAAAACACATTACTCTTCGACATAATGTACTATAATTTGCAGGTAAGTACAAATGACTTAACATAACAATGTCTCGATGATTCATTTATTTTTATCGATAATGGCGTTGCGCCCGCGCAATATGCTCACCGCCCTAGCCGGGCTATGTTTTATGACCCAAGCTGCACGGACAAAATAATTCTACTATAGTACGATATACGAGTATACCTTGTACTATGTGTTGTGAACATCAACGAAATGTTTTATTCAAACGTGAATGTTAAACAGAGCGAATAAAACAAACCGAGAACGAAATTTCAAACTTTTTACCCTTTCGTATGATGTTTCATGTTACCCTTAAACATAACGAAGGCTAAAACAATTATTGTTTCGCGGATTTTGAATTTTTAACATATCCAACCAGTTATTTTTAGCACTTTAAGAAAATTTAAAACGTACGTAAATATTTTTACTACGAAATACGTTTATTTTACACTATTATTTAACGGGTTCTTACCACGGATAAACTCAAGATTGTGGCTTGGGTGTTAGGGCCAACAAGTCTGTCTACCCTCATTCTAGTTTTGTGGGTGTTACCGCTACACTTACATCGACAGTTTTTTCAGAACACTGTCAGATCGCATTATTTTTTTACTTTTAATTTTAGTACTTGTTTATTATATAAGGAACCCGTTAAATAATAATGTTTTAAATATCGATAGCCGTGAAAGTTTAAAACAAAATACTTATCTGTTTAAAACATTTCAATGTAATTAATTACACATCATGGTGGTGGATCAAACGGTATATAAGAAACACAAAAGAAATAAACTACGGCACAATGTAGGAACTAAACACAAGCTTCGCTCGTAGACTTCGTAGTCTGTTACACGTAATCACATCGTTTCAAACTCACATTTCACACATTTATTCTTAGGCAACTTCTCTAACTCTTACTGTATCGATTTTAGACTTTAAACAGATCTATCTAAATTACATTTTAGTCCAGTTTTACCGATTATACTTTGTAATCTCTGAGAATTTTCAGTTGACAGCGTAATCGTTGATACTAAATATCATTAGGTCCGCCGTCTGCACCCTTTATAATAGCGAGTTGGTCTTGATGAGCTTAAAGCTCGAATTCGGAGCGGGTTTGGCGACGGTGGTCGAGTCGAACTCGAGCGCCGGCAGCGCGCGCCACGCATGCCGGTGGTCCGCGGCCTAGTGGCAGCTCCACCTCGCTTCCGTCCGCAGGAAACGAGCGCCACCGTCGCCCGAACAACCGCTCCAAGTAACATCTTAGTCAGATTCGAGTCGCCGCACTGTCCGCAGCGAGAGGTCGATATTCTCCACGGGCCAATTCACGCATCTCACAATTATTATTACCGTTTATTGTTTTGGGTCCTAAAGGCTCATCGTGCGTACTGCGCCGAGAGCACGCTTCTGAAGCTCTTCCCAAAAGAGCGTCACGTTCTCCCGCACGCTCCGGGCTACCCCCGTGTGCTCTGACGCCACCGTTCACATTCACTGCGTTCACAATGATTGTCTGAGATAAAGGTCCACCGTGCATCGGACTACCGTCGAGAAGTTCGCCCGCCCCAAGTTCGCTTCTCAATATCCTAATTTTTTGGATCATTTCTTTTATTTCGTATCGAAGGATGCCTAGGAAACACAGTTTCAAGAACGCAATTACACAATATCCTAAAACGAACAATGCATCCGCCGTTCTGCGGAGCCAAACCAACAGCCTCTCGGCACAAGCTGCCGTGTGCGGGGCGCAATGAACGGGAGTGAACGGCCCTGGCGAAGTTGCGGAGGTAACAGCTAGTAATGTCGGTGTCACGGCCGGGGTATGTGCAGGAATACGGCAGCAACTTGCCGGAAGCGTGGTCTTGTTGAAGGTCGCAAAATCAGAAGGACCCGTAACACCGCAACAACGCTGCTCTCTTTGCAACCGATCCCAGGCTTCTGCAAAGTCCACGTCTGTATCGTAATCTCTCGCGAGGCGAAGTCGCAGTTGCGGTCGAAGCTCACGACAAACACGCTCGAAACGAAAAGCCCAATATACACCGATGGCTGCGTCACCTACCAGCAAGGCCAGTAGAGCTAGCCAATAAGCGTTGAGCATACGTTCCGAGAGGCGTAAAGCCGCAAGGCAACCCAGAAGCTGCAAGAGTCCCGCTTGAACTGGAAGGGCTGCGTACCCGTAGAGAAAGCCGGGTTGAGCGATACCGAGTCCAGGTACTAGTGCCCGACGGTAATCAGAGAGCGCGCGACCCGCCGCCGCACAGAAAGCTAACGCCCCGAGCAGCAGCGCGCCGTTGCAGGCGTAGATCCAGATGCGGTAATAGCGCATTGCGCGATGCGCGGCGGGATGCGCGGGGCGCGCGGGCGGCGGCAGCGTCATGCTGGCGGGCGCCGCGTCATGGCGCCGCCCGCGCACGCGCCGCCGCCACGCGCCGCGCCCCACTCCTCTGAAACAATCATATCAGTTTTCATTTAACAATCATGTCAAGTCAAATAAAATATTAGTCGCACTGAAGAAAAAAAATGTATATGTATTAGATGTTACATACACAAGCGTATATACCACAGCACCCGAAGAGCGGGCAATGAAACAGACTTGTGCTTACTTTCTTACCTGAGACATAAAATATATATAGTGATATAGTCTGTATTAGCTATAGCCCTATGGTTACTCCAGCCTCCTCCAGATTGGTTTCATTGTCCTAATTCTGCCGCCTACAAATTTTAAAATAGCTTTACGTAACTGAACAGACAGGCTCAACCTAATATCGGCTCACCTGATTTTTGTCAGTTAACGAAGACCATCGATAAAACAGCTTAAAAGCCTCAGGTGGATTGTCCGCTCTTTACCTTAGTAATGAAAAGGTTTCCGACAAGATATATATATAACCAGAATATGTCGCGTATTTTAAAGATGACTTTGAACTTGCATCTTAGAAGACGCACTGAATTTTTTCACAATTCACAAAGGGTTTTTTCCCCCTACCTATTCGCTGGAAGCCTAAGAAGCTATTCCAGTTACACGCGGACTGTTAGGACAGCTCAAGAGCTAAACTTGAGAGAATTTGCTAACACTAGCCCTACCAGCGAAGTTCTTCGCAGAATCTACCACCTGATTGGTATCGCGACCCACTGAGAAGATCCGGCGAGAAGCTCAGTGGCCATAGCAAAGGGCTATTACCTACTGAAAAAATATATTTACTGATCAGTTTTTTTTACTTTTGAGCAACATTAATTCTCAAAGCTACAAAAAACGTTAAAAACGCTGGTGACCGTGGGCGGCGGTGAATCACTTACCATCAGGTGACCCGTCTTGCTCGTTTGCCTCTTAGATGTTATAAAAAAAAAAAATAAAAAAAAAATACAAATTTGGCTGCTAACAAGTTGCCTCTGCTCGAAAGATTTCGAGGATATCTTAACAACCCAAAGAGAACATTTCTGACTTCATCAGAGCTGACGACTGACCGTCTAGTCACAATTGTGACTGGCACAATGTTAATTAGCTTAATTACGATATATAAAAAAAACTTAATTATGTCGTTTGTAATGTATGATAAATAAAAATAAATATAATAATAACTGGGAACAAATAATACACGGTCATCCGCCCTCAAATTAGGATTAGGTGTTACGGGTACTACTGGTATGGGTATTGACGTACATCCTTATATACGTTTAAATATTTACATGTTTAAATAATAAACACATAGACAAAGAGCTAACAAACCTGTACATTACACGAATGTTTGCCTGGTGTGGAAATCGAACCCACGACCCTCCGCGCAACTACGAGTATCAGGGGCACTACCTTCCATACTACCGAGTCATTCAAATAATAAACATAAATAATCCACCTTCTGAATCAAAATTTTATGTATATGTCTATATAATTAAGTAAATATCAGTGCTAGTCAGAGCTCTGTGTGTTCCTTAATCTGTTTGTGGATGAAACTTAGTACAGTTGTTAGTAATGCAGAAGAAAAAAGGAATCGTCATACGCCCTTACGGGGGCATGAAACGAGCCTCGGGGCGAACCCCTATGCCTGAGAAGAAGTACTCAAGAGTAGGTTTCCTAGAGCGTTTCCTAGAGTTGCCTAGAGCGGATTAACCTACCGTGATTTACGACATAGAGTCTTCGGGCAGCGGTCCTTGGGATGAACTGTGAGTCTGTTTGTAATATTGACCGCGGTAATCTCCCTACCTATCTCAAGCTATATCTATTAGAAAGAAATCGATGTTTATTTTAACACAATCACATTATATATCAACAGCGAAATGTGGACCGGATCACTAATTGTGTTTGAAATTAGTAGATAAAATATTTTAATATCTTTGAGCTGTACATCAGCTTTATCTTCGAAAATTTCATAAAATTAAATAGCTTAGTTGTTTACTTACAATCCGCCTCCCGTGCCGTGTGCGAGAGTTCGAACTAGTCACAGAAGTGGCCGTGCCACTCTTTGAAGGGCTCCTAACACGCCGGTGCGAGGCCTGAAACAAATCCACATTTTAACACACGATAACAATAATATGAGTTCTATTTTCAAATCAATTCAGAATTCAATTGACCAACAAACTAAAGTGCATTAGTTATTCATGCGAGCATTTTTAATTTTCGTTCCAAAATTACACATTTGTGTAGAATAGGGATCGCAGCGCATAAAACAAAACTTCTACTGTTCCAAAATCTTCTGTTATAATAATAATTAAAATTAATAATTAACACTTTTATTACGTCTTGCTCATTTTTCAACCGTCTTCGTCATCTTCCTATTTCTCTGTCATTCTGTCTGTCTTTCTCTTCTCCCTTTCTTTCCGTTTTCTCTCACTCACATCTTAACGCACACACACTCTTTTCATACGTTCTGTTCTACTATATAGGTCTATGGTTCTTACCAATCCTACATTTATCTATATATTAATACGTGAAGCAAAAACTTTGTATCCCTTTTTACGAAAATTGCGCGGACGGAGGTGTATGAAATTTTCCACACTTATAGAGAATATAGAGAAGAAGTTCACAATGCTAATATTTTCTTAAAATAATGCATGAAAGATACATTAAATCAATAAAGAAAACATTACACACACTACATACCATATATTTGACGCAACACGCATGCATACTATTTATTGTCAAACTTTTGTTCTTGACGTCTGTTGTCAAATTGAGAATAAATTAAATATTGTTTGTCTTTGTTAATATTTTTTATAGTGTAGTCTTGGCGAAATTTGTGATTATAGAAGTCTAAAATACAATCATAATAGTGTACAAACTTACAATTCCAATTAATTATAGTCGAATTTCGACTACTGCGGGACCCCTAGTATGTTTTATTGCCTCATGTTATTGACTGTGACTACAGTGACTGATATGACTATATAGCTCGGCAGTCTCACGAACATGTTGAATGTTCATATGGAACACAATTCTCTCGAAGTAAGTTTTGTCAGTCGTATACGTCAGAACATGGCACATTGTGCACAGAGCAAACTTGCACGGCTGCGCTTCGTGAATAGCCTATTTTATAAACATGTTTCGCTACTGTTTGAACAGACCAAGTTCATACGTAGGCCGAAGTTGAATGTTGATTAATAGAATGTGTATAGCAGAAGCCACTGGCTCAGACTATTAACATGTAATGAAATACTTTACCCAGTTCTATCATTGTTTGGAGCACTCAGCCGCGTGTACAAGGCTCGAGTTTGTTATAGGACTGATATGGAATGCGTACTATCTCGACGTTATTTAATGTTACAGAATATTGCGTGAAGCCGTACTACATTCAATTGTTCGCACTCGGGTTACGTGTTGTAATAGACTGTTTTGCAAAACAAAACATATACGAATCTTTAGGAAATAAAATGCTGTGTAGCGGTATTGTAGAATGGAAAGAAATCCCGCAAAAAACTTGAATCGCGCTAACGACATTTTAAAAGTTAATTGAAATCGTCGTCGGTCGGAAAACCCACTGAATTTCTCGTGAGTTTTTCTCAGTGAATTGAGATTGCGATCCGGTTTCGATACCGATTCAACGAAGCACTTCTCTTGCGCTGAGAGCTCGACGATCACCAACCAAAGCGAAGCTAGAATAACCCCTGGAAGTCACTGGCAGAAAGGTAGGCGAAAAAACTCTACCGAGCAAAGAAACTACATATGTCTAAAATCTAAACTTTGTCGTGTGCGTTATACCCCTCTACGCCAGTTACAAAGCTTTGAAAATGTAAATAAATGAAATATTATATATATTTAATTACCAGAGCATCTACACACCACTTAAAATTCGTTGTGAAAATAAAAATATTGTAACTCACACAATATTGAATTGCGCATTAATGTGCAATTTCTTGCTTATCTTACTTATGTTATTAAAAGTAAATTTTATTTATAAAAACATATAGAGATCGTATACAAGCTCATAATAATATCGGAATTAACACTACACTATCCTTGAACGAATATGAGCTATATAGTAAAGCTGCAAAAAATATTTTTAGTTTGAAATCTCAATAATTGAAAATCATTTGTGATATTCGGACGATGAGAGCAAAACTTTAGCTTTTAGCGAATATTGCAGCTACAGTTTGAAATGGTGCGATGGAAAAATAAACTGCGACGTATACATTATATGCAACGATTCAATGCATGAACGTCTACTGTCTAGACGGATTGTTCAGGTGTCATTCACTCTCAAATTACATCACAAATTTCGCTAAATTTTCGTTAAAAAAAAATTTTTTTCTTCTCGTAGATAGATTCTTTTGATACTCGTAAATAATCAATCTAACACACTTGAATACCAATAAAACAATCAATAAACTTAATCTCAATTCCATATTCCGATTTGTAAGTCAGCGCCATTCTGCCTATTTCTGTCGCGTCCAGCTTTCAGATATAAAGGGTGAGATAGTCGTTATAAAATACAATAGACCTCGACCTCTGCCTCAACATAGGTAGCGGCATTCAAGTCGTGATGCTTATAAGCTTGGGTAACCTCTTAACACCAGCTGGACCGTGATTTTGTTCACCCATCTTTACAATAAAGATAAAGAAATCCTTTTTTAACACCTACCAACTTTAAGTAAGTGTAAGTGATTAAGCCTTATCTTTTTTGCTGTGCTTAGGAACGAGCTCACGGCTCACCTGGTGTTCAGTGATTACCGGTGCCCATATTAGCGTGAACGCTGTTACCCTCCTTGGTATATGTAGTTGAAGTCTCAGTAGCATTTCCGACACCCCCCCCCCCCTCCCACCTTCCCTTCGAACCGAGACGCGTGAATGCTTTGCGGAAGTTATAGTCAAGATAGTAATACCCACCTTCGTGAGCACGCATCAGTATTTGTTTCATAATCCTGAAATTCCTCAAATGGGTACTTCTAGTTACAGTTCAGTAGTATGGTCATATGAAGCTAGTCTGTATTGGAGTTGAATACTGATTAGCGGAACTGTTTTACACGACAGCCATCAAGTTTGACTTGATTAGATTTATTTAAATGAATTATATACTTATTTATGAAATAGGTCACATTCGCACACAACATGAGGATTCAGCTAAGCGTATTTATTGCAAACACTGTACCTACACCAAAATAGGTCTGTTGCCTACATTTTCAAAAACAAAAGGTATAGTATTAATATCGAGGGCCGCGGTGTAGAAGATCACTTGTATGAAAAGTCCGTTACCTGCGTACCTTGGGGATCATGCCGTTCTATAAATATCACCGTGACATTACACGTAATTTGAAGAGCCTGACATTTCACAGAAACATATGTATCTACTGTAATCGTTGAGCTGTTGCTATAGATACATATGTGTGATTAAGTCGCGAATCGTAAATACAAAAGTTCAAATTACAATCATCAAACTGATATACGGTTTCATTGGTGTATATCCAGATTTATCTGGAAACTTTTTGCTTTTTCAGAATTATAACAGTACTAGACGCGCCCTGCGGTTCGACCTGCGTTTAAATGATATATTTAAAAAATCAAAACACGGCTCATTTCTCCGGTATTGACCACTGCATAAATAAACTGCATGTCGATATTTTTAAATCGCCTAAAACTCCTGGTGTTGCCTGGGTTATACATATTATTTACTGTGCCAAAGCATTACATATATTAATCATCATTAATTAAATTAATTTTAAGTTTATAATTTAATTTTAAGTAACGTAAACTTTTTATCTATTTACTATCCATTTTATGTATTAAATATTTTCTATATTTAGATGAAGTTTTAACGATTACAAACATAGTAATACAAACATTCACATTATTGTATACATATACAATAAAATATATAATGAAATCGTTCATTGATTTGACGTCCGTGCGACGAGACAAGCTCGAGTTCGGAGGCCGAAAAACGAAATACGATACATAAAGACGTTTTCCTAAACATCACAGTGTTACGTATTTTCCTTATTGATTGGCAACATTAAATTTGACGAGGGTGCTTGAACGATACGATTTTACCTCGTTATTGGAAATTCTGGCTACAATGTGTCCTTTGAAACGTATAACGAAAGAAGAAGTTATAGCCGATTGCGAACATATATATGAAAACTTTGACATTTATTATGAAGTAAATTTTACGACTTACATAATTTATCGGCGGCCCTACAAAAACGGGTGTTATTCAGTTTCCTAATTCAGCTTCGTAGCTCTTGCAGTCATAACTCAAGCTTACGTAACCGTTGTTCTTAATAACGTTTACTTCGACGCCAATAATCTTATAACGTACAGCGTCGCTTTGAAGAAAAAAATCCAGTATGATTTAGATACGTAGGCTAACGCAGAAAAATGGGCAAAGAGTCCGTTTCTTTTCTCCATACTTATTCGATGGTAGTCTAAGGGGCTATTCCAGCTACACGCCGACGGGTAGGTGAGCTCAAGGGCTTAATCCGAGAATATTTGCTAACACTAGCCTTAACAAAAGCAGTGCGTTGCACAATCTACAACCGGATCGGAATCGCGACCCACTGAGTAAATCCGGCGAGAAAGTTAAGTTGTGTCCATGGGTTAAAGAATCCGTAAGAATCTGTTCGATACGATTATTAGGGATAGAAGTGCGGGGAGCAAGTGCAGTAGTAAGAGTTCTCCTTAAGTTAACCTGTTGTGAGCTTCCATGGAAGCACATCTGGACTTTTTCCGCGCAATAGTAGTTCTACTTAAACCGACGTTCGTTCAGTTTGTAGGAGAGGACAACCGTTATTCCATTATGTACTCAATATAGAATGGAATAACAAACCAATCTATACGACGCAAGGAATGGAATCTCAATTCCATCCTTGCGTCTTACAGCTTGGCATCCACTTTTTGCCGAGTTGACCTTAACCTTAACCTTAGGCACTTAATACAAAGTGATTTATGTGTGGGTGCGTAGTGAGTGCATTGTTGCCCCTCTTAGCTAAGAAATATAGTGGTGTGCGATAGGAATGAGATTACTATTAAGAGATGTGCCTTTGTTTGACTCGATTAGGTTGTG